GTCATATATATCAGTGCCCCAAGCCAAGCCAAAAGATTTAGGTAATATTGCACAGTTTTGATATCCCAGCCCCTGCCGAAGCATCAGGGAGTCACACGGCTGTAGGTGCAGACCACCCCCAGACACAGCCTCCAAACTCCTGGCAAAATGAAGGATAATTATGCTGCATGCTATGACCACAGCGAGAATAGATAGATCAAAGTATAATGCAATGCACCCCTAACCCTGCTCCTGTGGTTGACCCCACAGCGGGCCCCGCGGCACCCCCTGTGGCACCCCCTGTGGCACCCCCTGTGGCACCCCCCGCAGCACCCCCCGCAGCACCCCCCGTGGCACCCCCCGCAGCAGACCCCGCCAAATGATGGGATCAAGTGCATCACCAGTCCCATTGTGCAGGGTGCGTTTTGGGCTTTCCAAGCTCAAATTCATGCTTAAGTAGTGTATTTACCTATAGAAATGATACCAGGATGATTTGGGAAGGCTTCCATTTTTTGGGCGGAAAATCACGTGATTATGCGCCCATTGTCTGCCACAGCATGCAATGGATCAAGCAACACCTTTGAAATCATGCCGAATGGTGCACAAAAGGTGCCCCAAAAGTCACGTGATAATGCGCCCACTGCCCGCCATGGTGTGCGGGGGGACAGTAGCGCCCCCCGCCAACCCCCGCCAACCCCTGCTAGCCATCTTTGATAATTTTCATGCGGTGCATCACGTGATTTTTTTTACCCCGCCATCAGCCGCCATCCCGCCCATTGGATGTGTCATGTGATTCATTTTTTTTTCGCGCCCACCTGCCTGCTCCCAATGATAAATCACATGATATGTACAGACCCCCTGCACCCCCCCTGCTGATCCCCGCATATGTCCCTGCCCCAAATGGACCAAATCCCCCCCGCGGGCCCTGCAGGGGGGTACCTGTTGGGTACCCTCAGAGCTACGTCTGAGGGTACCCAGTAGGACCCCCGCGGGGGTGCAACCGGGTGATGGCGGTGGTAACTGAGGTGCTCTAGAATTTTCCAGTGAAATGTCGACAGTTCCGGACTTGGTCAACGTCAACTCTGTCACATTTGGGACGCCTCGGGTGGACGACGATGCGTTTGTCTCCTTCTTCGACTCTAAGGTCACACATCTCAAACGGGTGAACAATGAAAATGTTCGTTGTCTTGTCTCGCTCCGGTGCTCGACACACACTATTGGCCGTTGAACTGTTTTGGCAGGACTTGGTCTCGATCGTTCCTGGTCGTTTTCTGGGCTTCTCGCGCTCCAAAGGCGAGATTGTCAACAGCCTCAGTGTTCTCCCGGACAGAGCTGATGATCCTTCCTCCCCACAGCACATCGACGACGGCGGGACCTGCGGGATTTTGAGACGGAAGCACGGTAGATGGAATACGAGCCAGCGTCGAATAAGCCCCAGCCGCCTCCTTGCTTGACGGATTCCATGTGTCAGAGTCGAAGAGATTCGAGTTTCGGGCTTCTCACCACATTGAATGTGGGCCAATGTCAGCATGATTCTGGCCCCGACCTGAGCCTTGTTGTGAGATTCACAGGCATATGCGGACGCCTCGGATGATGATCTTTCTGACATTGGTTAGAGTCGAAATAGCTATGCAAGTAGCGAAGAAGTAGAGGAGGAAAAAAAAGTGTAGTACCGTGCACACGATGACACTCGGAGAATTGTATGTAATTTTGGCTCCTTTGGTCGTCCGCTCGGCATCATACTGTTGGTAAGCTGCTGAAAATACTCAGTCCGAGCACTGACGGTTGCTGCAACACCTCGCGGGCCCGGTGTGAGCTGCTCGCTGACATCGTTGAAATGTGGGAACGGAAGCTCGAAGCGTCACGCGTCGCGTCTCTGGGAGCGAATGGTACGATTCACCACACGGCTGCTCTTCCTCAGCCTGGGAAATGCTTTTCGGGATCACCGATCGCTTCAAGCCAGCCATCACAAGATACGTTCCTTGATCAGACCAAACAATGACAACTCGGGCCCTGAATGCACATGTGGTCTGGACTCTACATCTCTGCGCCCCGATGAGAACACATCGTTCATCGCCGATGTTCCAGCTTTGAAACGAGGACATTCATACCCTTACATCAAGCAGGCATCATCGGCGGGCTAGCCTTTACAGAACACACTCTCTCCCTCAGTGTGATGGTTGTTGCACAAGACATTTCGAGGCAACCCGTCTTCCCTCTGAGAAGCCAAGTAAGCGAAATTCTACCGCTACAGAGGTCATTTTTTATGACTGATCTCTGTTTGTGACCTATTTTCGGCATCCGTAGTGTAAGCGCCGGCGTGGATTTAAGCGTCGAAGCGCTAGTCTTGGGAAACCGGTCATTTCAGTTTACTACACGGTCCGTGCATGTGATCAGGAAATTCAGACATAAAGTCTCCTCCTCCACCCATTCTCTCATTAGAATCAACTCCAGCCATGATTTCAAGCATCCTTATCCCGACTGTGGCTACTCTGCTCGCATCGGTTGCCTGCTATGCTCTCAAGGTTTGGTACACCAACTGGACCTCACCCCTCCGTTTCATAGACGGTCCGCCCTGCGCTAATCCTTTCCTGGGACACTTCGCATTGGTCTTTGTGAGGCAGATATACCGCAGCAAGTCGTTTGGGCGCTGATTTGGCCTCGTGTCTATCCAGGATGTCCCGGATACCACGGACAAGTGGCGAGAGAAATACGGCCCGACGTTCATGGCCAAAGGTATTTTCGGCGTAAGTTGTCAACAGACATGGTTTTCTGGAGCTGACCCCGCCCTGACTTCCAGGAGGACGATCTGCACACGATGGATGTGAAAGCCGTATCTCACATCCTATCCCACGGCGCCATCTACCAGAAGCCGTATGCTGTGCTTTCCGCCCTGCGAGTGATCCTGGGCGAAGGAATTCTTTCGGTGGAGCAAGATCCTCACAAACGTCAGGTAACTTGGATGCTACATTATGTGATTCCCTCATCGCTGACGCCTCGTGCCCGGAACCCAGCGTAAAATCCTGGTTTGTCTACCAACAGTTCACGTGTGGTCGAAAGTCCGCTGATTTGTGTGCATAGAGCCCCGCCTTTGGTCCTCAGCAGCTCCGCTTGATGAATGAAGTATTCGTGGAGAAAGGTAATCTGGTGAGTTAGCGCATTTCGCGAAGCTCCACGACTTTACTGAGCGATATCGGAGTTGTGTGACATGCTGGCGAAAGAGGTCGACATTACCGGTGGGCAATTGACTGCGAACATTTCAGACTGGTTTCGTCAGCTCACGCTGGACATCATCGGAGAGGCTGGTGCGTGGCGCACATGAGACACATTGCGAGGCACGCTTACTGATTTTCGCAGGATTCGGATATCACTTCAACTCTCTGAAGTCGGGCGGCAAAGACGAAGCAGAGTTGAGCACAGTGTTCGCTCGGTTGCTCAACGACCCGAACGTCAACTTCAATGCGGCCTTCCGGGCCGCACAAGTTGCGATCCCGGTGCTGCGGGCTCTGGTGGGTGACTTTCATTCCTGAAAGAATTGAGATTGATGTGGATGGTAGCCGCTCCCCGGATGGACAGTCACCCGTTATGCAAACAAGAAGCTGCATGCAATAGGAAGGGAGCTCTTGCACAAATCAAAGGCCGAATGCGCTGCGCTTGGGTCTAAGGACTTGGGATCGGGCCGCGACTTGTTGTCAATTCTTGTCAAGGCAAACATGTCTAGTGATGTTCCCGCCAGCCAGCGCATGAGCGACGCCGAAGTCATTGCCCGTGAGTTTCCCTGCTTCGCTGTGGTGCGTTGAACAGACTCATATCGACATGTTTGGCAGAAATACCCACATTCTTCCTCGCTGGGCACGAGACCAGCAGCCTCGCGCTGGCCTGGGCGGTGCATGCTTTGTCGCACAATCAGACTGTCCAGGACAAGCTGCGTCAAGAGCTCCTCTCACTTTCGACCGACACCCCGACCATGGACGAGCTCGATGCGTTCCCGTTCCTCGAGAATGTGCTCAGAGAGACGATGCGATTGTATGCCCCGGCAGTCAGCGCCCAGCGCGCAGCAATGGCGGACGACGTATTGCCGCTCGACAAGCCGTATGTCGACCGCAATGGCGTCAAGCATGACACTCTTCCGTTCGTTTTCATCCTCTTATCATCACGAACGTGGGGCACTGAAAGCATCTCAAAATTAACAACAGGATCCGCAAGGGCCAGGTCTGCACTATCTCGATCTTGGCCATCAACACCAGCAAGGAGCTTTGGGGGGAGGACGCGCTCGAGTTCAGGTCTGCTCGGCTCTGTGCAGAGCCACAAAATGCTCACGATCTCGCAGGCCCGATCGCTGGGACAATCTACCGGACGCTGTGCACGCCATTCCCGGAGTCTGGGCGCACCAGCTGACCTTCCTCGCCGGCCCGCACAGCTGCATGGGCTTCCGGTTCACAATCGTCGAGTGCGTCGTATTCTGATCTCACGAGAGTTGTTCCACTGACAGACCGCTTTTCAAGGCAAAAGGCAATTCTGTTCGGCCTGTTGCGCAACTTCGTCTTCTTCCCTGCTTCAGACGAGGTGAAGCCCGCGATCAGCACAACGTTCCAGCGTCCCATCTCGTACGTTTTGGGGAGTGCCGGGGCTGGTCTGGTCTCGACCGGCGGTTTGCGTATCACGATCAGGTCTTACAAGGGTGGAGTCCATGCTTGACAATTCAGATAGCATACTTTGTGTACTGCGTTTATTTTGAAGGTTTCTCTTGGAGTACCTCTTGATGCAATGTCGATAATATCGCGTCTTGGCGTGCTTTCCGTTATATTTACGGGTATCTTTATCATGCTTGTTCGGCGCGCGCAATCACTCGTGATCACGGAAATCAGTGGTTGGAACTCGAAGGTTTCAGACTTGGAGATTTTTAGAAGGGCTTGGAAATGTTGATTGCGACCTTGATGAACTATCCCAACCGCATGGCAAAACACGTCCCAGATGATACATTGCAGCTGCATAATTTCTACCGGACGGAATGAGCAACTGTGAATTCTTGTTTAGCTACAATTTTGGATGCACGGACTCGAACATGAAATCCAACTTTGACAGATACCCATGTCTCCTAACTGGCTCACTGAAACTTGCAGTACCACAAAAAAAGCTTCTTGCCGTTGATGCCAGCGACGGGGACGATCTACTTACTAAAGACTAGGGGACAGATCGGTGCGGCACTCCAGCGTGTTCTGCAGCTCATCCAAGTTTCCCAGTTCTGAGTGTTCATTTCTGCAAGATCAAATATCGACTACTCTCTTACCGGAGTCATGCTGCTCTTCTCGGTCATAGCCGCTGTGTCCTTTGACAACACCAAATACCGGGCCGCCCTTTTTGTACATCGTACGCAAATCATGGACAAGCGAATCCGGGGCTTCATATGCAGCAAAGTGGCCGCCACGCCCGTGCTTGTTCCGGTAAACAATGTTGCCGGTGGCATTGGTCCAGCTGAGAACGAAATGCCGAGGATGAGCGCACGTTTAGGGGTCAATGGAGTACACATACCTGACTGGTATAATGCCCTTTTCGCCGGGAAAATGAGACATGCCCATCGGGATGGTCGGGTACTCTGCGGGTACATAGATGTCCTTCATCACATCCGACCGGCCCTCTGCAAACTCATAATAGAGACGGATGGACGAAGTGGGCCCGGCCCGGGAGAACCAGTAGATGGATATCCAGGTCAGGACTATCTTCATCAATGACCAGCAGACAACGAAGAGCGAAAAAGCACACACCTTCGTCGTCATCCCAAGGGTACTTGTCCGTCCATTCCACCAGCTTCTCGTAGATCCAGGCTAGCAGTCCGACGGGAGAGTCGGCCAGCGCGTAGCCCACGGTCTGCGGCCGCGTCGATTGCTGGGCGTAATAGCCTCGTCCATGGCCGTTGAACCATGCCGCCTCCGCAAGGCCGGCCTTTTCCTCCTTTGTCAGACCTTTCAAGCATAAAGCCAACCATGAAAGCGGCTCATAGTAAAGCGTAGGGGGACGGCCCCTATATTGAATGAGATGAAACAGCGGCGTCTAGATGTATGGACCACGCACAAGGGGAAGTTGGTGTGCCAGGCTTTGTTGTGCTGGTGGCCGTAGCGCTTGGCGATGCGGCGCGTAATCTGCGAAAGCGTGAGACGGAAACATTGGAGATGGATCAGGGCTCAGCGTACAAAGTAGCCCCAGTCGCCTCCTTGCGTCACTGAATCGGGTGTCAGTGTCGAAGACGCGCGAACTGAGGTCCACCATAACTCACCGTATTCATTGTAGCCCAGTGCCAGCATGATTTTGTGGCCGACCTACGCCTTGTGAGACTCGCAGACATATGTTAACACTGCTGATACGAACCTCAGCTTGTTGCTCAATAGCGAAGCCCTTCTTTTTAGGAGCCTCAGAGAACCCGTACCCCGCCAGACTCATTACAACAACGTGAAAACTCGGATGTTCGGGCGAACGCGCGACGAGCAAGGGCAGGATCTTCCTCGCCTCGAAGAAGCTGCCCGGCCCTGCGGAGTATGAAAACCAGAGTCAGTTCACCTAATGTACCGAACATCGCGATGACAAAGGCAACGTACATCCGTGTACGAACAACAGCGGGATCGCGCCCTGCACCTCACTCTTCTGATGAATGTAGTGGATGTTGAGCGTCCCGTGTCCGTCTACCGTGATGTCGCGCGTGAATTGGGGCAATTCCGCATTGAGAGCGGCTTCGTGCTTCCGCCAGTCGTAGCCGTTACTCCACCGGGCGACGAGCCGCTTGATGTCTGCCAAGGGCACACCGTAGTCCCACGCCGCCTCGTCCAGCTCGTCCGGGAGTCTGGTAGCTTTGAGCTTCTGGTGTAGCGTGGCGAGGGCCTCGTCCGACACGGCTATGGTGTATGGCGTTTCTGACATCGGTGAGAGTAGAGAGAGCTGTGCGAGTAGCAGAGGAGTGGACGAGGGAGAGAGAAAGTTAGAAAATCGCGGGCACAGTGTCCGCTTTTAAGTGACTCGGGTGCACACCCTGGCTGCGTTCTTGAGGGTTCGCCTAGTGTCCCATCGTTGGTCAGCTGCAATGGCATTGACCAGAGCGCTGACAACTACTAGAACACCCCACAGGCCCGGTATGAATTGCTTGCTGACATCACTGCAATGAAGCGACAGAAGCTCAGTAACTCTTGAGGCAGGTTTGCCCGTTTGTGTCTGATGGTCGTACCCATCGGATGTCACTGGCCTGGCTAGACCATCATGGGATACACCGACGGATGAGACCAAACACCGACAGCGTGTCATTCGCACGTGCACTGCACACTTCTGTGTCCTAACCACGGTGAACCACCGAATATCGTTGCTTGCGGATGTCCTGAATTTCTCGAGGAAGCTACCCACAAGCAAGCATTAACGGCGGGCGGCGTCTTACATATCACAATCTCTGTGGATGGGGCTCGCACGGCAGGCTTCTATGCAAAATACGTTCGCTCTTGGAAGCCAAGCGGGTTGCTTCCGCTGTCTGCTTGTTGTGCAAGTCATTGTCTCTGACGAGTTTCCCCTTGCCGAACTCTTCTCGGCACGCGTGGTGTAAGCGATGGTTTGACACTTGAGCGCTGAGATGCTGATGGTGCGAAGCACCAGTCATTTCTCGTTACTAAACCTTTCGTGGATGTACTCGAGGACAACAAGCCTCCTCTTGCAGCAATTCAGTCATTAGAATCAACTTCAGCCATAATCGCAAGCATGACCATCCCGACTGTGGCTGCCCTGCTCGCATCTGCTGCCTGTTATACTCTGAAGGCCTTGTATAATAACTAGACTTCACTTTGCGTTTTATCGGTAGTCCGCCGTGTGAAAACCGTTTCATGAAACACGCTGCCTCAGTCTTTGTGCGACAAATCGAGCGCATGTGGTTGTTCCGTCTACTGAATCGATCCGGTGTCCTTGAAGGATGTGTCGGATACAAGTGGCGAGAGCAGTATGGGCCCACGTTCATGGCCAAAGGTCTCTTCAGCGTGATGCTTGAGCAACAATAGAATTCTGGCGCTGAAAACTGCTCAGCGTTACAGGAGAACGATCTCCACACCACGGATTTAAATAAAGGCTGCCTCCCATATCCTGTCCTACGGCGCAATCAATCCGACGGCAGATGTAATGCTCTCTACTCTGAGAGATATCATGGGAGACGGTGTTCTCGCCGCCGACTACGATCCGCACAAACGTCAGGCATGTCTGAGAGCCCTGCCTTCGGTCTCCAGCAGCTCCGTCTGATGAACGCAGTCTTTGTGGTAAATACGAAATTCGCAAAGTTCCGCGTTAGCCGACACTGCTAACTTGACTCCACAATATCCGATCTCTGTGAAATGCTAGCGAGAAGGATCGAGATGCCGGTGATGCCCTCACAACCTTGATGTCGGAACGTGAGGTGCAGTGAAGTCGAGCGATGAGTTGATCGTGCAGTTGCGAACGGGGCAGTGAATCTTTGGCCGATCTCAGTTCTCTGCAAGTGTTCAAGTGCTGAAGAATGCCAACGCGCGAGAAAAGCGACAGGGCAGAGTCTCTCTGGATTACGGAGTTTGGTTGCAAGCCATTGGGGCCTCGCTCGCTCAAATCGATCAGATCGACGACGCACAATCGGCTAGACTGATACATATTACATTGAGGTTTGTGCAGACTCCTTCCAGTAAATCTACTACTTTCCGTGGCGAATAGGCTGGGGGATGGGCAAGCGATCGAAGTGTGTGACGGAGGTCATGAGATTGCTGTGCTTCAATCCATTTCCCTAGAAGAAGGGGTCAATGGTCGCGTTCCAGAAAGGGGCCCTGATGATACGTACAATCATGGTGCTGGGGAAGCCAGGGTCGAAAGGAAGGATGCTCTCGAGATAGGCGATGTGCTCCTCAGTCAAGACGACGTCAACTCAACATTGGCCAAAAGGTGCTCGACTTTGCGACCGCCGATGATGGGGAAGACGTAGGGAACTTTTTGCATCAAGTACGCGATGGCGACTGAAACCCATATGAGAAAATAGTAGAGGATAAAGTCCAACGAAACGCACCAGAGGTGATATGCTTCGCTCCAACTTCACCAGCTACCTTCTCGAGGGCAGCAGACATCTTCTTTTCATCCTCGTTCCGCTCCCAGTCGGGTCCAAAGATCATACGGCCCTTCTCCCCCGAAGTCCGGCGCGCCTCTTCTTCGGCATCAGTGCGCAGCTTACCAGCGGCCAGCACGTTCCACGGAGCTAGAGCCATCCCTAGCTCAGAAGTAAGCACACGAAGCTCAGGAGATGAATCGCTAGCACACATACCGTAAGCCCGAGCCATGGGAATGATCTCGCGCTCGAACGAACGGGCCATCACGTTCCATGCACCCTGGTAGATCACGAACTGCGACTTGCCGTGGTCGCGGGCGTACTGGTTGGCCTGCGCGACAACCCAGGAAGGCGTGTCCGAGACGCCGAGGTAGAGGACTTTGCCCTGCACGACGAGGTTGTGCAGCCCGTCCATGACCTCCTCGATGCTGGTGTCCCAGTCCCACCAGTGCATGTACAGGATGTCGATGTAGTCGGTACGCAGCTTCTTGAGACTGGCATTCACGCTGAGGTGCATGGACTTGACGTTGTTGCCGACGTAGTTGACCTTCTGCGGGAAGTTGTCCTGGCGCACTTTGAAGCCGGTGGTGTACTGAGGAGGAATCAGCAACACGGTTAAAAAGACTTCATTACACGGTCGGTACCTTGGTAGCAATGACCAGCTGGTCGCGGATACCGCGCTTCTCGGCCCACTCGCCGATGAACATTTCAGAGGTCTCATCCTGGCTGCAAGACGAGTCAGAGCGTGGATACATGCGGCAGCAGATCGACGCACTAGCCGTTCGCAGTGTCGATAAAGTTTCCGCCCGCGTCGAAATACGCGTCGAGGAGCTTGAAGCTGGACGCCTTGTCCATAGATCCCATACCCATCTTCTCCCACTGGTCGCCGATGCTCATTGCGCCGAGCTGCAGCGGCGAGACATGCACACCAGCTCTGGCCGAGAGAGTGCGATAGATACCGAGCTTAGTGGCTGGCTGAGGAGGGGGGGCCCAGAAAGACATTTTAGCGATACGTTGGGTTGGACGCGATGAGGGAATATACAGTAGCAGGGAATGGAGAGACGCACTTTTATATGGTTTTCATTTCGGGAGTGACGTCAAGCGACCATCGATTGAGAGATGCGGCCAGGATTACCTGCGGCAACGCGATTGCGCGTACAGTGCCGATGACAAATCTCGGTCCTCTCAGCTGATCCCAACAGCGAGGTTGTCAAATGGAGGGAGAGCCCAGGAGCCTAGCTGGCCGTCACAGACTTCTGCTCTCAAAGCGAGTTTCCTTATTGCGTAAATGCCATCAGAAGTGACATATGATGTGATTTGTGGCTGGGTAGTGTCGTCATTCAATTGAAATGCTCCAAATGGGCAACAGGGATTGATTCGCGTTGAATGTCGCTTTTGAACCCCCACAGTTGCATCGGGGATAGAGATTTCAAATTGAACAATGATTTCTTATACCGCCAATTATTTCTGGGGTCTCGTGCGGCTGACTACGTGCTTCCATCAGACTTCCTGTTCTATTTGAATCTCACTCCCACCTGCGTCCATCTGCGTATAACTGTTTGACCCAATCTCTATGACTAATCTTACGTGACCTACAGATAGTCAAGCGCCCATTCGATGACTTGGACTGACCTTCAAGAACAAAGGCCTATCCAGCCCGTCATCGTGTGGCTTCCCCCGTCAGAGCCCGGTGTCTCGGATCCGGACGCGACCTCGATTGTATGCCAACGGACACAGTAAGGGATCTCTCAATACTCACCTGTCGACCAATAGACTGCGGTCAGCTCAGACGAACTAGTGCGGGTTACACGATAGAATTGATCTTGAACTTCAAGTTGGGCCCCAGATATCCAGCGCGACCTTCAAGATCTCAAGAGGCGAACCCACGGGCAGGACTGAGTATGCAAATAAGTAGATTGTGTCGGCGGCATCGTCACAGGTCGTGTCGGAAGCCGCTCAGGTCGGCAGCCGAGGTCGAAATACGAAGTTCCTCTCACGGAAGGTAGATAGGCCCCAGGAAGGCTGGGGTCCAGACTAAGAACGGGGATTTCAAGGTGCAACTGCTCCCGGTGGCCATGTGACCGCTTTGATGATGTCATCATTCCCTTTCAGACCTTCTTTTCCCACGGAGCCTCGGCACCGCGACCGCTGGCAGTGTCCTTCTACTACGTAGGACTCTCCGTCGTCGGAATGAATGTCAGCTATACAAACACAATTCTTTGCATGATTCCATAGCCATATAATCGACCGTGCACGGGTTGCCAAGTCTTGACCCGATTCCAGTATCGATCGATCACCGCTCTGCAGCTTTTTACTCCGTTCACGCTCCACCTACCGATTCGGCCGCGCCTTTTCTAGGAACACGTCTCCGCCCGTACATTCATGGCAATGAACCCTCAACACCGGATTGCGCGCCTACGCGCATCGCCACGACAGGTGCCTGATCTTTCTGGTGCTTTCCCCTGGTATCGCTGAGGGGGATGTGCCGCCTATCAGGTCATCGACAAAGCGCGCGCGGGATCCATGGTGGACCTGACTGATCTAGCTAACTGGTGGACGCAGGTATGTCTTCTGCCTTCAACGAGGGAGAAGCTCATTCTCTTGGGCACCTTCATCCCCTCCGATCTCCATTTCCCCGGCCACTAGGTCCCCGAGCTCGTTCCTCTGGGCGTCATCAACGTGTTTTTCCATCATCTTGACGGGGCGGCACTCGACGCCATCATGGCGTCCCAGTCGCCAACGCCAACGCCGCGCCAAGCCGAGCAAATTCTCCTCGCCACCAACGCACTCTTCGCGCTCTGCCATTGCGGTCCCCTCGTCTCATTCGGTGGGCCCTACCACGACGGCACCGCGTTGCGCAGGGCCTGGCCGGGGATTTTCAGGTGGTCGGCATACCTGCTCAACGCGCGTGTCTTCACCGCCGCTACTAGCGCATCCACCGAGCAGGAACGACGCACGACGATGGACACCGTGTGCAGCTGCTGGTACGCGTTCGTCGCGGCGGACGGGATGCAGCAGGTCATGGCGCAGACGCAGGGCGCCGTTGAGCTGCTCACGAAGCTGTGGCAGATCGACCAGGACGTGCGTGGCCAGAGGACCGTCGACATCCCATGCGTCGCAGCGGCGTTCGACGCGCTTCTCATCGACGTCGACTGCGCGGACCGCGTCATGCGTGCTGTAGGCGGGAAGAGCAGCGCCAAGGTCGTTGCCAAGCTGGTGGTGACGCGCACGAAGGCTGCGCTTGCACGCCCGCAGCTCGATCCGGTCGAGCTGCAGATCTACTTGGACATATTCTCCCATCTGGCGCGGGGGGAGCAACATCCGCTGCGGCACGCCCTGCTTGCGGCCGGTGCTATCCCGCTCTGCACTCAGGCGGCGCTCACTTTAGCACGCGCTTTGGACGCTGGTGGTCCGCCTGACCTCCTCGGTGGGGTCGTCGCTGGTTTCGGGTTCCTCGCCAACTGTCTGCACTCTACAGAGGGCTTTACATGGGTCATTCAGGCTCTTCACGCAGACCTGCTCCTCGCGCTGGCAGCCTGTAGTCCTTATCTCGGAAGGCTGGACCGAGAGGACTTTGGTATGCTTTCGATGATCTTCAAGCAGCTGTTGCCCCAGTATCTTGTGTATCGCTCGGTGATCAACGCTGTAGACGCTGGGCTTGGACGCTTGGACGAGAAGCAGCAGCAGCGGATCCAGGCTGGCCGGATGAAGCAAGTGTGGCTGGATTTCCTCGCGGTGGCGAGAGAGCGGATGTATGTGGTTATGCATGCCCAAGTCGTCAAGGGCAAGGCTGCGACATGCGACAATGTGCAGGTGCGATGTTCCTCCTCTTCCTCTCCCTCTCCCTCCACGCTTACTCTCTTGCGCTGCAGTGCCAAAAGATTGATGCGAAAAACACGTTCCAGAAATGCGCTGGCTGCCAGTCCACGCTGTACTGTTCACGTGAATGCCAGACAGTGGCCTGGAAAGAGGGAGGGCACAAGGAGATGTGCAAGCTCAAGCAGCAGGAACGGCTGGGTGTGTCACCTCTGTCTCTCCGCCGATTTTGCGTGCTGAGATCATCGCAGAGGGAAAAGCACAGGCCATCAGCAAAGGCGACTCTGCGTTCTTCCATCACCTCTCCACGCGCGATGCGCGACACCATATGCCTCTCCTCAGAAGGTTAGCCCAAGATAAGCACCCAGGAATTCCGGCAAACCACCTTGTTGTCCGGATAGACTACACGCGCAACCCACCGGCGTACTCGGTGCTCACACTCGACAAGGCGGAAATCGTCGAGACATCTCCCATCGCATCGGCCAACGCTGAAGCGCGCAGCGACGCACTGTTCGACCGGGCGCGGGAGAACCCAGACCGGGTCTCGCTTGTGCAGAGTGTCGTCGCGAATGGGAGCTCGGCGCAGATGGTGCTGAGTGTCGTCACGGGCAGCTTTTGGGACGACGAGACTGTTCTGCCGACTGAGGAAGAGGACGGCGGCGATCGTAGCCCGGCAGCGCTTGACACATCTGTCGATGCGGTGGACATGATGATGGCCCGGACAGCTCTGGACGGTTTCCTGACATCTCAGGGAGAATCGGCGGCCTGTTGAAGCGATTTCGTTATCCTGATTTATCATCGGCATCTCAACCATTTGAGTAGGACGCAATTCATTCACAGAGATAGTACAAGCGGCTCGAGTAATCTCACAACTTTCAAAACAATTTCCAGGATTCTCCAACATTTGGATCAGATCGCCGGTATTTACTGGGACCCGAGGGAAATCGAGTTCGTGCCCGGGGTGAAGCAGAAGTTGTTGCTCAACTTGGTGCCGCAAGAGAAGAACTCGTTGCAGCTGCCACGGCAGTTCGAATCGTCGCAGAACGCAACGTCGTTCGTCGCCGAGAGGCAGTTGGTGTTCGGCGCATGGATGCACTGCGAGCTTCCGGTGAACACGGTGCACGGGCCCGAGCAGAGCTGGTTGGTACGGGTCGAGCAGAACGTGACGGTGGTCACGAACGGGTTCACGCCGAGCTCGTTGATATCGCCGACGAAGGTCAGTTCCGAGTCGGTGGTCGCGACCCAGTTCTTCATCTCAGCGACGGTCATCTTCGTGCTGACCTCGGGAGTCGGCGACTACAGGGAGGTCAGAACAGTATCATGGACGACGCGAGAGACGCGTACCGCGACAGCACCGATGGTGAAGGCAGCGATGACGAACGAGGTCAGAGTTTGGAAGTACATTGGGGACTTTGGAGCAAGGTTGAGCGAGTGAACCCTGAATCCTGCCTGTCCGATTCTCCTGGCTTTTATACCGTCTGGGTCTAGCCTACGGCCAAGTCCTGGTCTTCCTTGCCCCGCGAGCCCTAAATTTACATCACACGTTCCCTGCTCAGCCTCCCGCGGGAGACTGGGAGAGAAGTCGTATTTCGGCATTGATTTGACAAGCGTTCAACAACGACCGCGTTCAGAGCGGAGGATGATGTCAAGCACGACGCACCGAGCATCATCAGCTGACCTCGAAATAATTTTAAAACAGTCTGAGTTCGCGAGTAGTCAGGTTTTCGATCTCGAAACGAGAGATGGCCGCCAATGCACAGATAGAGAATAGATGGGACCGTCTCCCCTAGTGCGTACGAGCGCGTCGCAGATCAGGTCTATTCGGTGTCCAGAACTTTCAAGAGGGCCCATCTGGGAACCGTGTCCGGGTGCATTGCGACGTAACTTGTGTTTGACCATGCTTAGATGGCCCCGAGACGCGATAAAATAAAGTGCTATGTGTGTGAGTTCAGTCATGGTGCCATGTGTATTTTCGGGAGGCCAACACAGATGCAGATGAGCTCCCGCGTCCATATATTCGTCGAAGATCAGTTTTGTTGTTTCTTCAACTGACACATGGATGTGGGCTGGCCGCGCCATCTCAACGCCGCTCATTTGTTTACCGAGATTGAAACGCCAATCAAATGATCGTTCCTCCTCTGGAGTAATCAAGGCCGCCGAGCTCACCGCTTTGCTCACCCATTCATGAGCTCTAACCGCAGGGGTTTGGGGAGCCGATTGACTCTATTGATACAGCCCATGCATGAATTGACTCGAGTTGACCCATGACAGACGTCCCCGCCTTGGCTGTGTCCGCACACCGCCCTCTGAGCCAGCGCTGCCTATATGTAAATGCGGGCTGGGGTCGGCTCTTTGCTCTCGCTCCGACCAAGCCCATATATGCCAGCCCCCGCCCGCCACATCCTCCGCCGCAAACTCGTCGTGGTCGGCGACGGTGCCTGCGGCAAAACATCCCTCCTCAGTGTTTTCTCCGAGGGGCGATTTCCCACGATCCACGTTCCGACGGTCTTCGAGAATTACGTTTCTGACATCTCCGTCGATGGGAAGCCGGTCGAGCTCGCGCTCTGGGACACTGCGGGGCAGGAAGACTACGACCGCCTCCGGCCCCTGTCTTACCCCGACACCGATGTCATCCTGATCTGCTTCGCGCTGGACTGTCGCGACTCGCTGGACAACGTCGCGGAGAAGTGGTTTCCGGAGGTCGTCCATAATTGTGGCCTGGACATGCCCACGTTGCTCGTCGGCTGCAAGAAGGATGTCCGCGGGGCGACCGCCTCGGCCCATGCATGTGTCACGTCTGGCGAGGGCGAGGCCGTGAAGCAGAGAATCGGGGCGCGAATTTATTTGGAATGTTCTGCGAAGACCGGGGAGGGTGTCGAGCAGGTCTTCCAGCAGGCGACCAGAGCCGCGATCGAGCCAGGGATCAGGAAACCTAGACCTGTGCGATGCATGATCTTGTGAATCCATCGGAGGAATCTTGGATCCGACTTCATTGTCTCAAAGTCCATGGCTTTGATACTGGGCAAAACTATTGATTGTACTAGATGTATCGATATCCTGCGTTCCTAATCATAGATCAGATAAGATAAGATGGCGGCCAGGAAATCCATTTGATACAATCATTCATACCTTGTGAGCTGTGGCATCACCCCGTCGAGGCTCATTGGGTTAGGATTATATCACGAGGGAAAGCCTGAGGCTTCTCAGGGCCTCTTCCTCTCCAGCATACTGCATGAACATGGATAGACATCAGCTTCTCGCTGACCTCCTAGTACCAATCACATGAAAAATGACTGACCGGATGGAAGGCCAACTTCTCCAAGTTCCGCGCTCTGCAAATGAGACGAGCACCGTTCCCTGCCGATGAACTACGGATGAGACGTGTGCCGAGAGCGTCGTTCGCTATTTCGGTCGTCACTATTTCGGATCAGTCAAGTGAACGATCGAGGAAGGCATCGCTCGCAAGATGCCGAGTCGAGAAGATGCCGAAGCTGCCGACGTCGCATTCCCCAGACGTGGATTCTAACTTCATTGAAGCCTTAGCCAGCACCTTGGCACATTTTCGAAGCGGAAGCGCGCCTGCAGAACACCGGGATGGGCACGCGACCCCGGCCTCGAGCCTCCAACCGACTGCCGTGCGTGTGCGAATGAAATCCATCAGGCAGCGAACGAGCCCCCTGCATAATGCCCGTGAACAGTATGACAAGCACCTTCGCGTCAGGCGGCCTTGGGCGGCGGCAATGACGTCTATTTGGGGTTGGTCATGTGACATCAGCCCCTTCCTTTCATAACTCCACTTCACACGTTCGCCTTTCCCCACCTCTCCACGACCCACATCACACCACCCACCCACCCATCATGCTCTCCGCTGCTGCCCGCAACTTTGCCATCCAGCGCGTTCGCGTCTGCGTCCCCGCCGTGCGGGGTGTGGCAACTGCCCGCCCCGCGCACACGACCGAGTCGTACGAGAAGGAGGTCGACCAGACGCCTGCTGTCGACCCCAAAGTGTACCGCGTCGACCCGTCGTCAGACACCGTCCAGAAGCCGTACGAGCCGCCTTCCGGACCCTTCAGCAAGACCGGCGTCGAGGCTGGCGTAAAAGGCGCGCACCCCACTGAAGGTGTGTTTCACCTCGTTTCTCCTGAGCCGCCGTGAGGCGTCGTTCGCACCCTCGCGACGTCCTGTCTTTGTGGAATCGGCTATGGATTCGGTGAGCTGATCGTGCGTTCCATCCAGGCACTGCTTCGAAGAACGGCGCCAAGAAGAACCCCGCCTGAACTGCGATTCAGCACGCCAAAGATCATCGGTCCAAGCAGGCACGATGGAACCCCCGTTGCAGCTGAACTGCAAAGCCGCATAACTGTATCATAATTTAACGACACATTCCTGTACAACTCCCTGAATCACAATTTCTTGCGAAACTCGCGATCACACTGGCCCTCATCAGAAGAGCGTGTAGGCAGCACTGGGTGCGTGCCCCAAGGACGGTTTGGCGGTGATCGACGATCGAGACACGTCCACTCTCACGAAATTAGGCATGGAATGAGGTTTCATGGGAAGCACACAACTGCAAAGTGGTGTGAATATGCAAAGACGAACGCAAGACGGAGCTCACATGATGTCAGTTCCAGCAGGCCGTCTCGTCGGCTCTGCGTTGTTCAGCAATATGGATCCAAGGAAACGAATAAGATTGGAGCTCAGAGAAGCGCTTATTTGGAGCAACATTGACAATCTGATGCGCATGGCGCGTGGAGCCGAGTTACGGCGTTGAAACCCGTTTCTCCACCTAACAAATATAGGTTCCAGTCAAAAATCAGTCAATCAAATAAGCGCTTTGAGTTCAGCGAGAAGCGCACGAACACTGGGGCCCCCACTGTTCTTTTCAGGTGGTTTCTTCTCATCGCCAGCAATGCGCGTGAAGAGCGTATCTGCGCCGTGGGAGAAATCAGCTTGTGAATGAGGAAAGCGCGTGCGAGGACGGACATCCGGTGAAAACGACGATTGGGAGTGTGATCATCATGACGCGGATTCGGCGCGCCTGGTTTCGGGGTATCAGAGCAGGATTCGCGGCCGCCATCTCAGGCGCGTGGTGGTTTGTTCCTAGGAGGGTCACGCCTTGCCGAAGAGTGACTAGGGACGTCACTGATGGAGTGATGGATCATTGATGGATGTTGAATCATTGACGAGTGATGGCGGCTTCGGAATTCGCCGCCGTGAGGCTGCAGCGCTTAAGCGACGGTCCGGTGGCGTGAGTTTAAATCATCTGCTGGATGCACTCCATTCCCAGCCTGAATATATATCTCAATCTCCATCTCCATCTTACATGCTCCAATCTCCACTGCACAGTTGCGTTGAATCAAGGGTACTCTCGGCCCGCATCATACGGCGCAAAATAGCACCACCAGATGCACCTTGGACACCCCAAAATCCTACCTCGAGAGGTACCTTTTTGAGGCCCAAACAAGGTACCTCAGAGGTAGTGGGGGGCTGTGGGCTGGGCGGCTGTGGGGGGCCCCCAGTTTTGGTTTTGGGCGGCTCTGGGGGGCTCTGGGGGGGCCCATCCTGGACCCTACCTGGCACGTTAGTGCCAGAAAAAAAATTGAGTTTTTTGACCTCAAAATTGCCTATTTTGGAAGATTCTGGGACACTTGGCCAGAACTGGTATTCAGGATGGGGCATTGTTCAAAAATAGAATGTAGCTCCATGTATCTGGCTATAACAAGCCAGTGTAGCAATTTTAAACAAAGCACTTTCTTTCTAGGCTAGGTTTACCCATTTTTGCACAAAACTTTGTTCTACATCATTTTCCAAGTGATGTCATCATGTGGACTGTTTTGGATGCTGCGCTCTAACGAGTGATCTGATCACCCATGTGTATAGGTGAAACTTGTTCAGTTTTGCGAGGGCTACAACTTTGATTTCCCATCATTTTCTTTGTCAGGATCAGTCACATGCTTCACTGCCATGTGGAATGGCACTGCTTTTGATCTCCCATCAATTTTTGATGATACTGATGATGTAAATCTCAATCTCATCTTATCTGTCAGATCCTTATTGATGGTATCTGCTTACTCAATTGTAGTCACTGATAATCAAATTGAAGACTTATCTAATCTTGATGCAGCTGTGTGTGATTGGATCATTATTGCAGCACAGCTTCCATTTTGGGTTGCATGTTCAAGTTACATAATCAGAATTGAACATGTTGAACATGTGACTTCCTTTTTAGGACATTTTGATGCAACTTATAGCAACCCAAAAAGGAAATTCATCTCAATTTTGGAATAGCTCATGCTCATGGTGTGGGTTCTGCCTTAGGTTTTCAGGGTATATTCTACCATGTAATCACTTACATTTGTGCTCTTCAAAGCCACTGCATTGTTATACAATGGCTCCATATCCCAATTCTTTCAGTGATACCCTGCCTAGCTTTCTATAACAACACCTGCTTCTCTAGGCACATCCCTATCTCTCTCTAACATTCTATGCCTCTCAAGTAATGTACTTCTGTCTTAGATCTCACAGTAGAGCCAGCCATTGTATATATAAATGCATAGTAACCATTTCCAACCCATCTTGCTTTGATACATAACCAGTGGTTTCTACACCCCCAATTCACATCAGCCATGCTTTCATTATTACAAAGAAGAGTCAGTGAGATGGATATGGACACAGAAACAAGAATACAGTGGAAGCAATGGTAACAGGTGGGAAATCAAAGTGCCCTTTGTAATGCAGGTATTCTTGCTCCCATAACTCGAAGCAATGTTTCACTTTATTGTACCAACCATTTCGAAAATTTTCCGCACTTCATTGATCTAAAAATCAGGCTGTATCTGTTTCATTTAGGTGCATTTACTTTTATATTGTGAGTGGAATAGGGACTCTCTGGGTGAATTCCACGCCTCCCTGAACATTGCAATGAGTTTTTGGAGTCATATTCTCCCAGAATATGAAACAGATGGCAGAGGGAAACAAAAAAGTGCTATTTTTTTCGCACTTGCATTAGTGCTACATCTTGATCTTTCTGAGGTATATCAATTCAATATCATGTTGCTTTTTACTATTCCCCTGTCATCTGTTTCATATTCTGGGAGAATATGACTCCAAAAACTCATTGCAATGTTCAGGGAGGCGTGGAATTCACCCAGAGAGTCCCTATTCCACTCACAATATAAAAGTAAATGCACCTAAATGAAACAGATACAGCCTGATTTTTAGATCAATGAAGTGCGGAAAATTTTCGAAATGGTTGGTACAATAAAGTGAAACATTGCTTCGAGTTATGGGAGCAAGAATACCTGCATTACAAAGGGCACTTTGATTTCCCACCTGTTACCATTGCTTCCACTGTATTCTTGTTTCTGTGTCCATATCCATCTCACTGACTCTTCTTTGTAATAATGAAAGCATGGCTGATGTGAATTGGGGGTGTAGAAACCACTGGTTATGTATCAAAGCAAGATGGGTTGGAAATGGTTACTATGCATTTATATATACAATGGCTGGCTCTACTGTGAGATCTAAGACAGAAGTACATTACTTGAGAGGCATAGAATGTTAGAGAGAGATAGGGATGTGCCTAGAGAAGCAGGTGTTGTTATAGAAAGCTAGGCAGGGTATCACTGAAAGAATTGGGATATGGAGCCATTGTATAACAATGCAGTGGCTTTGAAGAGCACAAATGTAAGTGATTACATGGTAGAATATACCCTGAAAACCTAAGGCAGAACCCACACCATGAGCATGAGCTATTCCAAAATTGAGATGAATTTCCTTTTTGGGTTGCTATAAGTTGCATCAAAATGTCCTAAAAAGGAAGTCACATGTTCAACATGTTCAATTCTGATTATGTAACTTGAACATGCAACCCAAAATGGAAGCTGTGCTGCAATAATGATCCAATCACACACAGCTGCATCAAGATTAGATAAGTCTTCAATTTGATTATCAGTGACTACAATTGAGTAAGCAGATACCATCAATAAGGATCTGACAGATAAGATGAGATTGAGATTTACATCATCAGTATCATCAAAAATTGATGGGAGATCAAAAGCAGTGCCATTCCACATGGCAGTGAAGCATGTGACTGATCCTGACAAAGAAAATGATGGGAAATCAAAGTTGTAGCCCTCGCAAAACTGAACAAGTTTCACCTATACACATGGGTGATCAGATCACTCGTTAGAGCGCAGCATCCAAAACAGTCCACATGATGACATCACTTGGAAAATGATGTAGAACAAAGTTTTGTGCAAAAATGGGTAAACCTAGCCTAGAAAGAAAGTGCTTTGTTTAAAATTGCTACACTGGCTTGTTATAGCCAGATACATGGAGCTACATTCTATTTTTGAACAATGCCCCATCCTGAATACCAGTTCTGGCCAAGTGTCCCAGAATCTTCCAAAATAGGCAATTTTGAGGTCAAAAAACTCAATTTTTTTTCTGGCACTAACGTGCCAGGTAGGGTCCAGGATGGGCCCCCCCAGAGCCCCCCAGAGCCGCCCAAAACCAAAACTGGGGGCCCCCCACAGCCGCCCAGCCCACAGCCCCCCACTACCTCTGAGGTACCTTGTTTGGGCCTCAAAAAGGTACCTCTCGAGGTAGGATTTTGGGGTGTCCAAGGTGCCAGATGTTGGAAATTTCGGCGAGAAACATCCGGTCTCGATGATCCCTCGGTCATGATCGGTAGATTAAAGCGCCTCGGGTCTCATTTCGCGTGGGACCCCCAGGCAACAGTAGCTTATAAGTTGTATCAATCTGTGATTTCTACGCACGACGGAATTGCAACCCGAGACTTGCATCCGAGGCAAATACATACGACGGATGCGCAGTCAGTTCTAGGCGCACGGTGCATGCTGAATTTCTTCCGGAGCATTGGATATCACGAGCACTGCGCAAACCGGATGATTAGTTTCGCCACTGCGCCTGCGAGAAAAGCCGGAGCACGGGACACCATCGCCGTGGGCTTTGGGACGGTCCCTTGGCGGGCCCCGGGTGGCGCGGCTTGTGCGAAGAGAGATGGCTATCACAACGAGGACTTTTTTGGGGGGTGACCGTTAATTATGAATATGTCAGTCACAGTCTCTGTGTTGCGAGGCGGCGATGGTGTGGGTCCCGCTGAGGTCATTCGGCGGATCGGAGCACAGGGTTTGTGTCGGATGCGGGAGGGCGTCGCGGCATGCTTCCCACTCTCTTTCAGTTTCCGAGACTGCACGCGGACGTAGGAGCCGCCGAAGAGGTTCTCAGTGTGGGGAGTGCGGCGGGCAGAATCAGCGGATCAGATAGCTCGATACCCACATGTCTTTTCCGCATGTCTCCGCCATCTTCCCGACACGGTGGCACGATCTGTGATTGCACCCGGGCGAGTGCAGGACAATCACGCGCGGCTGGGGGCGCGTGAAAACATGTCGGGCGCAGGATGAGGGCTAACGGAGTTAAAGATAGTATACGCTTGAAAGCATTTTTGATGGGTGACTGCATCGAATAGGTGCATGACAGGATCAAGAGCTGTCTTGTCAAGAGTTGTGGTGTGTCCACACGCTTTATTACTTTTGTGTTTTTGTTGTGGACGCTCGTGCTCCTCCATACGAGCGTGATAGCGAACATCCAGGCGCTCGTGGACCGCGTCGATCTTCACACCAGATCCTCCCGCATAACATTGATCAAGTCACGACATATGACGCCAAATCGGCAACTCGCCCTCCACGTGGGCGGACGGGCACAGCCCCCCGGCGTCCACGGATGACATTTGCCACGTGTCGGCCCCTTTTTGTGCTTTCGCGATCGGCGATCGGATACCCCCCTTGCCGATTGTGCGACTGATACCGTGCCGCCAGCTCACTCTTCTTCTTCTCCTTCCCTTCCTCCCGCTCCTTTGAATGTCATCGACCTATGTCCTGCTGCAGTATGGCACCGATGCTTTCAACGCGCGGTTTGTCGATCTCGAAGGACGGCCTGCGTTCAGTGTGTCAGTCGACTTCCGCATCGAGTCACGCCCACTTTGAGCTGATCGGTCCCTCGTTCTTCCCTTCTACCTGCGCTCAGTGGCCCGGTGCGTGCTGTTCAGCGCTGAACGTGGATTCAGACTGATGTCGCATCTGCGCAGGTCCCCCACAGCCCGAATCTCGTCGTTAAACTCGGTCGGGAGGCAGAATGGACACAGCACCACCCCGGGACGATGGGCCCCGACGCGGCCTACTTCTACTTTGGGCCCTATGTCGCAGTGCAGAGCTCAGTCTACGGTGCAGGGACACCGACTCCTTCACCCGGATACCTTGTCTACGGCAACAACCGGAACTCGATACCCATGACCTATCTGAGGAGGCAGAAGACCGAAGGAAGCCCGTAAGCATCGCCGCTTCTCCCGCCTCCCCGCGGCGCATCACGGACGCGGCCCGGGGCTGATTACCTCCAGATCACGATATTTTATTTCGCAGAGCGGAAAGGAATACAAGTGGAGGGTGTCCCAGACGAGGATGGAGGTGCGTGTTGTCTCCGGACGAGCTCTTTTTTCCCCGCGCTCCACACCCATGCCCTCACTATCTGCGTCCGCTGACGCCCTGACGTACGTCCGGCTGCCCAGTGACAAATCCGTCGGGCCATCGCGTTGGCCGGGGCTTCTATTGCATCCTTGCTTTCTTTCTTTCGTTCTCGCACCACCGGTCGCATGGAAGCCGCTGACTACGCACACACAGCTGACAGACGGCCGCACGGTCTTTGCGGTCTGGGAGACGGCTGCAGCCACAGACGACTTTGACGGCCGGCTGACCCTGAAGCACGCCGGGTTGGCGTTCGTCACGGAAATCATGGCCACGCTCACCATAAACCGCATGAGCGGGGCCCTGGGCTGGTGAGCCCTGGTCTCACTCACGCATGTTGGCCCAGGCACATGTGGATCGGGCAAGGACACCGGTCCGGATTCAATTGGAATGGCGCTCTCGTTGGGAAGTATCTGCAGTGTATCATATCATATCAGCATCAGCATCAGCATCTCGCCTCATCAAGCCATGCACTTGTCCCTTGACCTCGGGAGTTGCTATGAATCATCCGTGTTTTACTCTTTTTGTTTTCGTTCTGTTTTCGCTCATGTATTAGTATACACCCGCTGTCGCATCCGATGTCGTCTCTTGCGTTCGAAATTAAATCAATTTGTATGCGACCCTGCGCTGCAGCATGCATGCCCACTGCCGAAGAATTGTGGGGTATTTATAATATTTATTGGCTCCTTGTAGAGGCTGCTACCCTTTATCGATGAGATACTGATGGGTCTGATGGGTTGGGACGCGCGAACACCCTCGGCCGCTTTATTCCGCGCGGATGCATGGGGCAGGCTTCGCGCATACATGCACCCCCAACTCCAGCCCAGATCCGCTCGCGTGGCATCGCGTGGCAGCCACGTGGCCGCCCCTTCGAAGAAGGCTTTTCCGTTGGCCCGTCGTCACCCGCGTGAACATTGCTGCCGACGGGCATCACCCGCCCGCTCTTCCGTCCCCTCCCCCAGGCCTTCCCCGAGAACGCCGCGCCGATGGAAAGCCTATCTGGACAAACACGCGGTGGCGTCGTCGTCGTCATCTTCGCTGTCCGTCGACGTGCATCGGCTGCAACGGCGCGGGCTGACCCGGACGCACTGGATCCATGCGTATCTGGCTGGGATTCCGACCCCCGCTCGCGTCCTCGTCGTCGTCGCTATCGTCATCATCCTCGTCCTTACGCTGGATGCACGGGCCTGGAACGTCTCCGTCGGGACTGGCCCCGCTAACGTGGACGTCGTGACTCACAGCATATCCGGCCCGCGGCCGAGTGTCCGCACACCGCTGCACGCCGAGATCAGATGGCGATCGGCCGGACCGGATCAGCAGGGTGGACTCACTGCAGCAGGGTATACAACTTAAGCACACGGAGCAGCAGTCGGAGAGGAATTCGGCGAATTTCATTTTGGGCGAATGAATGAATGAGATTTGATGGAATGAGGATTGTGCATGCCCCTTCCAGACTTTATATGCAGGCGCAGTCGCGAAACGCGGGACGCTTGCGGGATCAGGCTGTGGCGAGGCAGTGTGTCCATCAACTGATTATCACCCGAACAGGCATAGTTCACACTTGTTCAGACTTGGCAAGTGTTTGAAAAGACTTGGGGGGGGGGGAATCGGTCAGCTGGATGAGTCGGGAAGATGTGAACCTGGGCGCAACTTGGCAAGCCATAGCTGCACAATTACATACTACAAAGACTGAGTCTAGTCATACCTGCAAATGTCCTTGGTTGTCATAGAGATAAACGGTAATTCACTCGGTAGAGCCTGGAACGTTGAAACGAGATGGCTCTGATTGAACACATCCCGAGCAATTCCAGTTGCAGCACGATCATCTTTCTCTTCTAATACATGAGATTAACTGTCTCTCGATTGTTTTCATCTGCCCGCATGAAACGCCCCGGCAGACTGACATTGAAGACCTCTCGCCGGCTTCTGATCGGTCTTAAACTGGGTTCTCCCAGCCGACTAGCGTGGATCAGAAGTATATTATACGGTTACGATTCTTATGCTGATCACGACCAACTGATGCTGGAAAACTCGGCAGTGCTCGCCGAACTGACCTCCAGCGTACTCTGTGCGGATTCGTACGCTGCGAGTCGGGGACTGTCAGCAAAATCCTTACGCTGCCACCTCAAAATATACTCACGGACGAACTGGGGAAGAAAGGGTCGGTTCAGATTATGTCACAGCAATTCGAGAACAGCAGACACTCACGAACGCGGTGAAATCCGTGCTGACTGCAGTGCTCTCGTAGAACACAATCCGATCGTTGTTGTAGCTGGCGTATCTCCCGCGTTTGACCGTGTCGATGTCCTTGAAATGCAGGTTACCTCCCACCTCTGATAGGTCCCGATCTTAGTACAGCCAAAAAAAAACGAGCTGCGGGAGGAAGCACGCACTGACTGATTTGCCCCGCAGGACGTTGTTCGTGTCGGTAATTGTCGCGGTGGCCTTGATGGCGGGACAGCTGATCGTGATCCTGCTCTGGTCGTCGTACTTGCGGATGAAGCAGGTGACTGCGCCGAGGTTCATGTCTTTCCACGAGCCGGTGCCCTCGTAGGCATCCATGTTGCATCCGCGCACGCTCTCGTCCTGTGGCAGAAAACGATGAGAAATGTGTATAGTGGATCTTTGACTAGAGCAAATACCGCATCGACTCCCAAAAACTGGGAGTGGAATTCAGTCCGAAAAGCATGAAGTCCAGCAGGAACCGACGAACCTCAGCAAAGCACTGATTCTCCGACTCGGTGTAGAACTTGATCCATGCGCAGGTCTTGTTGTCGATCTTGTTCACATAGCGGTATGTCTTGTATTTGATTCCCGTGCGGTCGAAGTTGTCCGCATAATTGTAATAGAAGGTACCCTCAGGATCTATTGGTTTGTGAGACGTATAATCACGAATAATGCATCTCGCTGCCGACCTTTCCCGATGTATAGTCCATCCGTAAACTCCTTGCCGATATCGGGCACCTCGAGTCGAAGGGCACGGCGTCCGTTGTTGAAGAGCAGTGCCTCAGCTTGCACCGCGTGCTTGTAGTGGGATCTGAGTTCGGAAAATTTGTCGCTCATGGTGGAATAGCGTCGGATTCGCTGGCCTCTTGAACACAATCCATCGCCCAAGACTGCAGGTGTCTCTTATACCGCCGTCCGGCCGCCCGAGGAACATGCTACCAGTCATCGTTGTATGTGGGTTTCTGCGAGCATCACGTCATCGCAACCATACGACTTGTCGAGATTGGCCTTTGAGCGGACTGATTGCACAGCGAAAACGCCGGTTGCCAAAAGCGGGGCCTTGGTCATGAGGAGGGCTTGACCCCATGACAGTGGGCCAGTGAGTGGTGATAAGCAGCATTGCGTTAGATCACAGCAGAGGTTTGGGTTCAAGGGGCCTCCAGTAGACCAAGGAGCGGTTGCTTGATGACCACGACCATCATTGCCGATCGCACACGTTTCAGCTTGCGGCGCACAGCCCAGCCCCGAGCAAGCGCGCGCGCACTATAAGGGAACTCGGACGGATGATTACCGTTCTCATCACGCTTTCTTCCCACCCGTGCTGTCATCCACGATGGCTTCGACGACGTACACCATACGCTCACTCGATGCACCCGAGCCCACGCCGACGGGGCTCGAGTCTCTGGTCTTCCACGTCCCCTTCATCGACGACGCCCCGGCGCGCCTGCTACAGCGCTACCGGGATCTGCGCGCGGAGCGCGAGATGGAGGAGGAGAGCCACTACGAGGCCGAGTCGGTGAAGCTCGTGCTGGAGGCGTATCAGGAGGAGGCGCTCAGGACGGAGCGAGAGGAGTGGGCTGTTCGGGCGATATCACTGTTCCATGCGGTGGTGGAAGGCAACAAAGATACGCTGCGGCATGTCGAGGTCGTGTTACCGACGGGGGGGATGGCGGAGCCGCTGAATCTGTTCGCACCTCTCAAGTACGTGACCGAACTCGAATCGCTCTCGGTCCAATGGGTGCGTAAATCATCCGCGCAGTGGCTGTTGGCACTCATTCAACGCTATCTACTTCCAGCCCATGCGAGGCTACAGCCCACTTCATCTGCTCCTCATCCCGCAATTCGCCCACGTCCTCGAGAACACCTCGTTCCTGTCCGCGTACGCGCACTTCACAGACGACCTGATTAGCCTGCTCGAATCGCACGCCGCCACGCTCGCGCGGCTGCGCATCTCCCTCCCGCAGTCGACCACGCGCATGCCCTTCGCGCTTACCTCGCTCGACCCCGCGCGCTTCCCCGCGCTCCCGCACCTCGCGCTGCTCGACCTCACGCACTGGTCCCCGTCCGTCCCGGCGCTCACCGCGCTCCTCACGCCCGCGCGCCTGCCGCGCCTCAGGCACCTCATCCTCGACCACGGCGCGGAGTGGCCTGCGACGGACTACGACCCGGACGAGGAGGTCGACGACGACTACGACCCCGACGCGCCGACACCCGAGGTGTACTCGTGGGCGGGACTTGCTGCGCACCTCGCGGGAGAGGGCAGGGGCCGGCTGGAGTCGGTCTGCGGGGCGTTGCTGGACACGCGGTTCAGCTATGGAGGTGCGGCCCGGCTCAGAGCCGATGGGCTGCGTCGTCTGCTTGGGCTGCAGGACGATGCTGGGATCCGGATCTGCACGGCTTGGCCGGTGGAGTACGCGCTGCAGGAAAAGAGGGCGGAGGAGAAGCCTGAGGATGGCGCCGACGACGATGACCTGTATACGCATGTTCCCGGGTGCGGACATCTGGCCTACCCCGAAGGTCAGCGCCCCACGACCGGGCTTTGGCCTGCAGAGGGAGAAGAACAACGTTCAGGGCAGAATATGCTCGGCAAACCCTGGTATTGAGGCCATGGGCTGTAGGATACAGTAAGAAGAACTAGCAGAAACCCGTGCTACGATGCGGGAATGGAACAAGTTGTAACCTGACTCGCGTGGATCATGTCACATATCTTCGGAAAGATGGCCGAGACGGACGTTTCTTCATCTACAGGACAAGGTGGTGCTGCAGTCGTCAGATGGGCTTGGTAAGATGGTGATGATGAAAACTACCTGTTAATCGCCAGCATCCCTCTTAGCTCAGTTGGTAGAGCGCGTCACTAGTAATGACGAGGTCAGTCGTTCAAATCGGCTAGCGGGAATTAATGTTTTGGACATTGAATCTTTTCGTGCCTGTCGCTGTCATTTATGTGGCCGGCTTCCCCCTCTTACCCGCCCGCATACTGTTCCGATTCAGTTGTGTCCTTTTGAAAATTTCTCTCCATAATCTCACTACAATAAACAAGACAAAGGAAGCCATAACTTTAAAGCCTATGTATCCTGGGGTGAACCATAGCAGGTCCGATCATGATTGATCTGTTTCCTGAATGCACGTTCTTCGGTGGACCGATCCCGCTATTTCACTGGGATCTCCGAGGCCTCCTGACACACAACTTCCATGTATGGCGAAATGTCCAACCTCGCTCGCACACAAGTGCTCGCCTGTATGCCGCTTATGCCTCCCTCTCCATTCCATACTTCATCTCGGATGGTGATCTCTGCTGCCTACCGAGGGCTGTCTTCTCGAGCCCGCCCACGACATCGTCGTCACGTCCCTCCAGCTTTGCGCGAGGTCTGGAGTTTCCGTGCTCTCGTGGAACTGAACGGCAAGACGTTACACAGAAGTGCTCTATTTTCGTTGATCATCGCCGTTCCCACAATCACGACTATCGACTTGCGTGATATTAGAGCTGTGAAGTGGCGACTCGACGACAAGTGAAAGGAGTGGGAGGGGCGCGATGCAAATGCAACATTAGATACTTTTACGGCTGATTTGTTCCAGCTGTTCCCACCAACGTTCAAGGCTGAGCTGGAGGTTCGTCTGATAAGCAACAGCAACTTCGAACAGACGCGAGGCCCGTGCGGCTGTGCCGTCTCCACCTGCTGCCGCTTCAAGAAAACTTCCCAGTCTTTATTGTAAGAACAAGGTCCCAAATATGCGTGTTTGCTGGTCACCTCCTTACACTCAGGTTCCCGAGTGCGCCAGAGATCAGCTTGAAACTTCCCACGACGCGCCTCTCAGGGCAAGGCCGCGCTGTGCCATCGCATGATGGTTGCATCACGTGCGCGTGGTTAATCAATCAGCGGCGTGGTACTGCTCCGGTCAGAATCTCTACTTCCATGTACAAGCGACTGACGGCGGCAACCCACCCTCTCTATCGAGCGGTAGGCCCATTTTTTATTTGTAAACCCACCACCTTCATCTACAACAACTGCTCGGCTCCTGCTTACGCCGTTCCCATAGCGGGACGACCGTGGGTCCCACGGGAGGCGTTTGCGCGATACACGCTAGCATAACATGATCGAGGCGTAGCTCTGCTGAGATGAAAGTCGCCATTGGCTATCCCACGAACGTGCGCGTGTGGGAGTGTCCCAGCGGCTGGTCTGAGGCGTTCATTTCGCCTGCCATCCGACTGATCATCTGCGTGATACAGAACGTCCGTCGGCCCTAACGGGGTCGACGGCAATGGCATGTCCTAATTGATGTTGTGTCTATGCGCGCGTATAAGTAACAGGCCTGCGAAGGATCGCAGCGTCCCTCGCTTTCCCCAGTGATCATGGTCGACGCTGCCTCTGCCCCCAGACACGACCGCCTAGATACGCAGGCGACGGTCGTATCCCCGGACGATGCGCCTGCGCCGACGACGTATCTGGGCTCCAGCGGGACGAAGCCCGCGAACGTGATCCCGCCAGACCACCCGCACCGGACCCTGATAGTGTGCTTCGACGGTGAGCGGGCACCGTCTCCGGACCAGCAGTCCCCACCCCCGCGCGCACTGCTCTTCTGACGCGGCTTCTCCGTTTGTGCCCAGGCACGGGCGAATCGTTCGGTTCCGACAACTCGAACGTGATCCAGTTCTTCTCGCTGCTGCCCAAGGCCGACCGCAGCAAGCAGATGGTGTATTACCAGTGCGTTCCGCGCGTCAGCGGGCGGGATACTGTGGTTCGAGACTCTCACGGTGATCCCGCAGAACGGGGATCGGCACGTACACTTCACCCCAGATCATGACGCCGCTTCGCGCCAAGTTCGCCCAGGCACGTTTCGCCCCTGGCATCTCCGTTCGGATCCGCGCTCACGAAGAAACCATTCTGCACAGTTGCTGGACGAGGCGATCGCATGGAGCCTGGATGCGCATGTGATGGGTGGGTACGAGTTTCTCATGCAGAACTGTGAGTGTTGCCCTCTTCCCAAACAATCTGCATCCCATCGCAATGCATTCTTCCTGCCAGACACCGCTGGTGACCGGATCTGCATCTTCGGGTTCTCTCGGGGTGCCTACACCGCCCGCAGGTGAGTCCCGGCCGGTGTATCTCCTCGTTCATCCCCAGCCTAACCCCGCGCGTCCAGCTTAGCGGGAATGATCCACAAGGTGGGCAGCGATCGCATGTGCCTCCGTCAAGCTCACGTGAGCGCCACAGGTCGGACTGCTGCCGACGGACAACGCCCAGCAGGTGCCTTTCGCGTACAAGATGTACACACGCACGGACGAGACGGGGTGGAAGCAGTCCAACGCGTTCAAGAAGGTGCAGTTTTCGTGTTGTTGTCAGGAACCCCATATGCTGACGGCACTTGCAAGGCCTTTTCTATCGACGTCGACATCGAGTTCCTCGGAGTCTGGTTCGTTCGCTTTCGCTTTGGATGGCAGGATCTGATCTTGATCAAGGGACACGGTGAACTCTGTCGGTATCATCCCGAAGCGGTGGGTATTGACCCTGTCCTTGCTAACATGATTGACAACGTGGCATTCATCCAGCCTGCCTTTCACGACGTCGAACACTATCGTCCGGACCTTCCGGCACGCCATCTCCATCGACGAGCGCCGCGCCAAGTTCAAGGCGAACCACTGGAATCGGCCCACGGCGCACGAGCAGACGCTGGGCATCGCAGGCACGAAGCCTGCTGCATCCCAGAACATCGAGATCATCCCTGGGAGCGGGAAGGGCCATCCGAGTGAGCACAAGCAGTCGTGGCGACACATGGAGCGCCAGTACTCCAAAGCGTGCGACCAATTGACCGATGTCGACGAGGTGCGTGTGTTGTGTGATGACCACTCGTGTAGCGATGCTCACTGCGTGATGCGCTAGGTCTGGTTCTCCGGGTGCCACTGCGGTGAGTGCAGCGCGCCATAGCATCCGCCAGCACAGCGCTGACGTGCCCCAGATATCGGCGGCGGGTCGGTCGACAGCTCGACGCGGCACACGCTGGCGAAGATCCCGCTGCGCTGGATGATCCGCGAGTGCTTCAAGACCGGCAGCGGCATCATGTTCGACGTGGATGGCTTGCGCTCCGTCGGCCTCGATCCAGACAGCCTCTACCCCGTCGTCAAGCCCCGCCCGGCCGCCCTCCCGCTGGGCGACCTCAAGATCCGGGCGGTCCCATCACCGTCCGCCCCGCTGCCCGATCCGACGCCAGTGCTGAGCGAAGAGGAGGAGGACCTCCAGGACTCGCTCTCGCCGCTGTACGACGTGCTCGCCACGCCCCTGTCGCTGTGGTGGATCCTCGAGTTCTACCCGATCGAGGAACGCTATCAGCGGCTGGACCACGAAGGCTGGGGCACGTACCTGGGCTTCAATCTGGGCCGCGGACGGCGCGTCCCGGACGAGGGCTCGGCGGGGGTCCGCGTCCACCGCAGTGTCAAGACGAGGCTCGAGGCCGCAGCCGCGAGCGGAGGGTACGTGCCCAAGGCGGGCGTCGATTTCAGTCGTGCGACGTGGGTTGATTGAGGGAGTGTCGTCCCGTCCCGTATCTGCCTGTGTGTAACCCGTTCCGTCATCTGTAATTCCAAAGTTTCAGCCAGAACCACATGCATTGGCATGCCTGCGAATTGGCGAAAGAGTGACATAAAGGTTCAGTCAAGACGGAAAATGGGTAAGACATGGCCAGCCACCGTCAACACCATAAGCCACATCGGAATCCATTGTTCTCGAGATCATACCCCGCCTCATCACACCACGTGCCGGGCCTCCGCCTTCGTTGCTCTCCAAACCCACTCTGCTCCAGTCCGCGCGAGCAGACGAGATTTGCTAACGAGTTGACGACGGAATCCACGTGGGGCGGCCATTGTCTCTGACGAGCCAAGGCGCCACATCCAGCCTCGTGCTGATATCGTGTCATTGCCACCCTCCCGCACCACTTTCTACCCACTACGTGCATATAAACACACACACAGCTTCCACGAACTAAAGACGATCTTCATACGGTGAGTGCGTGCGCGATCCGTCGGTAGCGCCAGGACTCACCCGATGCAGATATGCAATCCACGATGGCGCAGAGTGCCACCCTCACTGGCGATCTCGCGCGCCTGTTCGCCGGGCTCGAGCAGAAGCGCCCAGACGCGGGGGCTCTCGTCGAACACCCCATGCACCAATACCAATACCAACACCCACCCACCCTCACCGCGGCAGCCCATCCCCTGGCGCAAGTCAGAAACTGGGTACTGCAGCGGTGGATGCGGGAGCAGCTGGGTGGCAAATGGACGCCGCCCGCTCCCCGCACCAAGGGACACCAGATCGGAGGCAGCAGCAGCAGCAGCCCCGCAGCGAGCAGAAGCTTCTCCGATGCGTCGTCCTTCACCAGCTTCGCCAGCACCGTCCCCGAGTCGACCGATCCCACCGACAACGACGGCTCCCCCGCACACGGGAAGGTGGCAGCCAGTCGGCAGGCGGCAGAGAAGCTGGAGACGTCCGCTATGGGGTCTCTGGCTTGCGAACTCCTGGGCGCGAAAGCCCGCGAGGGCCTGGCGTGGGCGGCTGAGGATAAGCGCGCGGTGAAGAACTCGGACGACGTGCTGTTGATCCTCAACGACGGGGAGATCGACGCTGGGGACTGGACGATGGGTGTCCTCGGAGCCGATGCACGGGATGCCCTGCAGGCGTGCGGGACGGGTCCAGTGGACTCGGATGACATCCTGGCTGCGCTCAACGCTCATCTGCCCACCTCCATTTCGGTACAGGAAGATGAGAGTGCTTCTACGATCGAGGAAGCGAAAACGCGATCGCTTGCGGAGGGACGGAACGAAGGTGGCGGGAGCCAAGTCGTAGAAGATGCGACGGGCGTTCTCGCAAGGTCGGGCGGTGCAGCCCTGACCAAGAGCAATATCCAAACCATGGAAAGCCGGGAGGAATCGACTCTCATGGGGGCAGGAGACGATTGGAGCTGCCGCATCGGCTGGACGCAGGGTCCCGCGGAGGATATCGGCACCGACCGCGTCGGCGCAGAGAGGCGAAACGAGCAAGGCAGCGGGATCAAAGCATTGGATGCGGAAGCATGGTCGCCATGCAGCTTCGAAGTCGGAAACGTCGGGGCACGCTCATATACCGCGGCCGGAGAAGGAGTCTGCGGTGGCTTCGCCATGTTTCGCGCTGATGAGAAGCGGTCCGTATATGCGGTAGGACACGACGACGACACCGAGTCCTGGATGGGTGAGGTGCCCATCGCCGTCCGCGTCGCCGAGTACGTGCTGCGCTGGGATGACGACGAGGAATAATGGATGGGTGGCTGTCCCCGTCCTTCTAGTGTTCAGCGTTGTGCGCAGACGCAGACGACCTCAGCCGCGCCAAGGCGCAGATGCAGACCCCTAGTCCGTGTCCCTCGTCTTCCTTTGTCATATACATATACATGTACCTGTACCACGGATTGTGAATCAGCCAGTTTGCGACCAGATAGGAGGAAGATGTGTTGAGGCAGCGACAGCTGCGACGCTTGAGCTTATTGGAACTCGTTTCCTCTCCTCTTGTCGGGTTGTACTCGAAGAGCTGAGTGCTCAGAATGAAGTCAGAAAGTGGAAACAGTGGGTGATCAGGGACGACCAACCCTAACCTGAGCTGCGATCTCTTCTTTCAAAGGCAGCCGCCACGATTCGAACTCGCCGCAGATATACCCTCGACTTGCACGATTCGCGGCAAGCTTTTCTAATTTACTGTCTCTCTGTAAAATACCATCAAGCAATGAAATTTCGTAGACGATCTTGACCCAAGGGTGTTCTTTCCAATTTCCACTTTCATGAAGGATCTTTCATTCTGCTCGGCCATATGCAGCTCTCCTCTTGAATCCGGCCGAATTGAGCACTTGGGGCAAAGATCTATCCTTGAAATCAAACTCACTATCCCCTACACCACTCATTTCGACCAGAATGCTACTGACCTCCGCTGAACAGATACTGTAATCTAGCTTTCTGATAAGGTCACAAACCGCGCCATTTTACTTTATAGAGCTCCTAGAGCGTTTTGAAGCTGTGGGAAATAGACTCGTGCTTCGAAATAAACGGCCCGATGCATCCAGTTAAAGAGAAGAATACGTTACATCATGCACGATAGGTGGAAACTGAAACGCATCGGATCCTCTCCATTGAACTAATTTTCTACTCGCCGAGAATTTTGAGGATCTTCTTCCCACACTGTTCGCATTCCCTCGTCGTCACAACATCTCTCTATCCGTATCAATCATCAACCGAAACCAGTTTCGTCATCTCGCTGATGGCCAGACTGAGGCGCGCGAGCTTCCACGGCTTCATGACCTGTTTCTTCTCTCCTTCTTGGTTCCCCACCGCCCCCGACAGTACGGCCATCTTCTGCTGCTCAGTCAAGCCTGTGGCCATCAGACCCAGCTCCGCGGCGGACTCGAAGCCGGCCTGCTCGAGTATGGCCGCGTCCTTCTCGACGTCGAAGCTCTTGAGTTCTGCGAGCAGCTCACGCAGAGAGGTTGCCGGAGATCCACTAGCGGGGTGGGAGGGTCCAGCGGCGCCGCTACATGGCTTGGTTTGAACGTTCTGAACATTCGACAATGAGTGTATGAGTACGCACGGGGGGTGTCTGGCACTCGCTGTATCCCTGAATCTGCCTTTTCGTTCCTCAGCGTTCTCATTATTGGCTGTCCCGTCCTCGCCTTCGCTCTTTTCAGCGCGTTTTCTTTTTCTTTGCTGAAACACAATCAATAACATTCCAGGTTCACAACATGTCAAGGGCATTTTCAGGCTCAGTCGGAATGTTGCGCAACAAGTAAAACCCCCAACGTACTGAAAGTTCAACTCGTCTCATCCGAGTATGCGGTGCATCTGCCTATGAGACGAGAAAATCCCAGTCAGTTCCTTCCGGGTGAGCCCCATCAGAGCATACGGACTCGGTAAGGCCGGAGGAAGTGGGCCTGCACGGATGCCATAAGGGGAGAGATTGAACTGAGCTGCGGAACCTGCAAGTGTATGTATGTCTTTGTGTCCGGTGAAAATTGTTCGGTGAGTCAGCGTTACAAATTGAGTTTTGCGTTCTCTTTCCCACAGTGGGCTGTTTGACTGAAGGCCACCGCACCGCATTGATCACGGGCTGCTTGTTTGTCAAACAGATTTACTCGAGCAGTAAAAAACTAGAGCTGATATACGCTCATAAGTTCTCTCATCCAATTTCCAATGTAATTTCCTGTTGATCCCTCCTGGAAAATATTGAACAGTCGCTTCGTGACAATCAATCACGTGGACGACAAAGATATGATTCCATGAGCCAACTTGTCAACTCTCAAATCTTTGAATCTGCTGGCCGGTTTCTCAAACGCCTTTCGGGCAGTCAGAACACGTTTCGAAATTCGGAACTTTACGTCGCAGCCGGCACGGCGTACGAACCCCGACAGTTAGCATTTTGCGGGCGTTGACGACCCTATCTCAGGCTGTCTGCTTCGTGGCCAACGTCTTCGGGCAGATCGAGGTAGTAATTGGGTGAGGCGGTCATATCGCCTGTGCTGATGGTGGGCAGAATACTTTGTTTGAGGCTACAGTCGTAGAGTTGCGGGTGCGTCGTGCTGCACTCTTCCTCTTGCATTCATTGAAGCGCCACAGGACGGCGTTCTTACGATCGAACCAGGCCTGCGCCCTGTCTGATAAGCTCTTACAGGCGCCGCTCGTAAGAGCACATGTTGACCCTTCCTCCACTGCCACACGGCATTCTTTCTTCCCGCGCGGCCTCGACATGTACACGCACTGCAAGACCGGGGACGATGTCCATTCCGCGCTGTCCACGCTCAGCCAGGCTGCCAGGGTCTTCCTCGACTGCGAGGGCGACTACCTCGGCTACGAAAGTGGACTCATGACCGTCATCTCGATCGGCGCTGCAGTGGTGGATTCGGACGAGATGCCCATCTTTCTCTTCGACCTCACCATCCTCAACAAGGACGCCCTGCACCCCCTCTTCGACGGCGTCCTTGCCAACGCCGAGGTGGAGAAGATCGTGTTTGACGGGCGCATGGACCAGAGCGCGCTGTTACACGAGCACGGGGTGACGCTGGTGAACGTCGTGGATCTGCAGCTGGTGGATGTACAGAGCCGAGCGCTCCGCGGCGAGAAACCCTACCAGCAGCAGGGACGCCTGATCGCGTTTTTGCCGCGGAACGAGGTGAAGAGGAACTCCTCCATGTATGTCCACGTGCACAAGCTCGATGGGCTGGCGCACGCGATTCGGCAGCACAAAGTTCAAATCGACAAGGAGCTGCCCGCTCTCAAGGGTGTGTAGTGTTTTCGTCATTGCCAGTCAGTATGGCTAAGGGACCTAACACCCTTACGGCAGATTCGTCGCGGACCCTCAACTGGCGCGTGGTCGATGAAGCGATGCTGGTCTATTCTGCGAACGACATCAAGCTGATAGCTGCTCTTCATGCCTACTTCGACGGCGCCGGATATCTTCGGCTCCTCGGGAGCATCCGCCAGCAAAGCGCGCGCTACATCGCGCTGTGGGTCACCGCGCCGCGTATCTGGGGAGATGAGTACAGGTCGCATGGACTGTTGCCGCTGGCCGTTCTCGAGGAGACCTCTTCGCTCGACTGCAGGATTTGCTCGGGATGCAAACGAGCGCTACCGCAGAGCGCCTTCCCCAAATCAGCGTGGGCAAAGCCCTCGAGGAAATGCTGGGTGTGCCGGGCTGTCGACGTGCGCCTAAGGATCCGCGGGAACGAAAATCTTCTGAAGTAACAATACTTGTATTAAGCTAGTGCGCATCTAAGAGCTGTTGACCGCCCGGAATGTCTCGACCGACAGAGAGTATAATGGTTTGGGATGGAAGGATTAGAGCAAACACCCTTAGGTGGGACATCACGGAGCTGGTATCTTGCGAAGGCGTGCGCCAGGCGCATCAGATGCAGCGTTGGTCACGAGGACTGTTAGCAGTAGATCCATCAATCATCAAGATTCATCACCCCAAACAGCTCTGCTGCCTCGCCTCATGTCTTCCGAGCACCTTCTCTGGCTCCATTCCAGGGCTCATCCTGAACAGCCGATTATCCAAATGCGTGTACTTCTTGGTGCTAAGCGCTCCTGCCGCACCTAAGCTGTGACTGCCCGCTTCTGCTCTGCGCCTTTACCTCGATGGTGACTCGGCAAGCAGGAAGCAGGGTCTGCACCCCAGAATGTTACCACTGTTCCGTCGACTGCATGCATACGTATGGCGTGACGTGCTGAGGCCATAAATGCACAACAGTCCAGCAGCCTACGTCTCGCATTTCACCTGCCGCGGCTTCGCTTCTACCCGTCGAGCAACCTCCCGGCACTCAAGTAGCGCCAACCACTCAGTTGCACTCGCGCTCATATTCCAGTCGCACGATGTCGGTGTACGACGCCTCCCCGGAAGCACATGCGAGATACACAGCGACCCAGCGAGGCGTGGGAGACTGGGCGCGCCAGACGTCGGCGGCTGCCACGTCGCGAGTGACTTCCTCGAGCAAGAGCCATCGCCCGTCAACCAGCTCCGCGGGCCCCGCACCTCGCGCATCATCCTCCAGCAGCAGCATCCTCCCGTCGCACTCGATCTCGCAGGTGCTCAGCTCCAGGAGCGGTAGCGCCGCCGGCCACACGCGGCAGGCGGCACCCACCGGCACCATTCCCCCATCGCGTCCGATGTCGCACGCTCACGCCCCGTCGCGTTCGATCTCGCAGGTCCACAGCTCCAGGAGCGGTAGCTCCGCCGACCACGCACGGCGGGCGGCACCCACCGGGGCCGTACCCGCCTCGCGTTCGATGTCGCAGGCTCACAGCACCCGCAGTGCCCCCACGAGCTCTGTGGGCCGGCACACTGCTACCCCCGGCAACAGCCTGCGCCCGGCCCCGGCCCTGGGCCCGAGCGCGGCAAGCAGCAGCCGGACTGCCAGGACCTACGTCGTGACGCCGTCGCCGGGCGGGGGCGTGATCATCTTTCCGCGCAAGAAGAAGGGGCCGCGGATCGTGGTGAGTGCAGAGTATCCCGAGCGTTGGGGGGTTGTCTGAGACGGCATGTGCAGGTGTACTGAGGATGTGTCTGAACCACTCGGGTTCCTTGATTGAGAGGCTTGGACGTCTCGCGGCGATCGGGGGGCATGTGGATGCGGGTTTAGGATCTGAGAGATCTCGCAGAGAGCCGGACACGGAGACACGAATGCTTGGACTGGGTAGTCTGGTGAATGAATGTTGTTTCACATGCACCCCTTCTGGCAAGAGTCGACCGCGGGTCGCACGATAACCAAGGACACTCAGGACGCCAACCGTCACAAGTTGTAACAAAAGATCTGCCCAAACGGCGCAGGTGTGGCTACATTTCATTCATCGTCATGGCGGCGGCATTAACCCAATAAGTCTAGGAGATTAGATAAGAAGTGGTACAGAACGACACTCGTCTACCGCCCAATGTACTTGAGCTCCAGATAACGTGCGGGGACGCTGAGGAGGGACAGCAGCGTCAGTCGCGAGCAGAGGTTACCAGTGGGACAGAGGGAACGCACAATACGATGCCCGCAAATGCAGCAGCCAACTCGAACCCGATATCTCCACCGAACGGATTGGCAGACCCACCGACGAGGGCGCCAATCTTGCCGACGTACTAGCAGGGAGAAGAAAGCATCGTCAGCGGGGCGTTCCCAGAGGAGAGCAGACGCCGCAACACGCACCCAGACTTGTGCCATGCCCATGGCAGTGCCCAGGGCGCCAAAGAGGAACGCGGCGCACGCGGCGAGGCCGATGGGCGTCTTGTCCTGGCGGTTCCAGGTGTCAGCGACGTGGTAGTTCGCGTAGTCGCTCTTGCGGAAGACGAAGTGCTCGAGGAGAACGACGGTGACGAAGATGGCGAGCCAGTAGCCGAGCACGTCCATGAAATTCTGCAGCGACGACGCGAAGGACGTCGCGCCGGCGATGGCGATCGGAATGTACTGTGCCAGCGGGTCAGCATCTAGCCAGTCGGCTGGAGTCGTGCAAATCACTTACGATGGCGGTGATGATGACAGGCCAGACGAGACGCGGGATCTTTGCGAGCCAGACACCCACAACGGCGATTGAAAGACCCATCGAGTACACATCTGCGCGTACGCGTTAGCACGTGACGAACAGCTGTGGGGGGGGCACGACGTACTGATGATGTTGTTGGCGATCACGCTGAGCACGAGCAGCACCATGCAGAACTTGCCGAATTTGCCGACGACGGGGACCAGCACGGCGTGCAGCAGCCCACCGACCTCGTCCGCGGCGTAGCCCGCGGTCCAGGCGTCATTCGACGGCGCGGCGCCCCCGGCGACACACATGATCGCTGCGCCGAGCCACTGCACGAGGACCAAGGGGAAGATCAGGCCGGACTGTGGGCGTGGGTGTGATTCAGCCCCGAAGCAGGCGAAGATCGAAGAATTGGGCTGCACGCACGTAGGTCCAAGCAAAGGTCTTCCACGCCGGCGTCTCTGCCGGCTGATAGACGTTGTAGTCGCTGGCGAGCGAGACCCACCCGGCAGCGAAGCCGAAGATGACACCCATGAACGACAGCACGTTCGACGCCTCGCCCTGGCCACTGTGCGGATGTTGCTCATGAGTCCCAGCACATCGGTAACACGGAATACGACAACGCACGTCCCCATTGGCACGTTGACCAGATGCTTCGCGGCACACCCGAGCACGATAAAGAAGGTGATGGCGGTCGGGATCCAGGACCACTTCTCGTAGATGTGCACATGCTTGTATCCGAGAAGACCAATAATCAGGGTCCCAATCTGCGCACAACGTCAGCGCGATGCGTAACAACGACAAGGAGCGAGGTGCTGCGCACGGCGATGATCACCACACCCGCCGCATGCGAGATCTTGTCGTCCGCGACGGACCGGAGGGTCTGGGCACCGGCAATGCTGTTGACGGCACTGGGAGGGGGGGATCAGCCAACGTTGCGGGCCCGACGCGACAATCCCGCAGCAACACACCTCCATCCAACACAGGCGATGCAATTCAACAGGGCAACGACCTTGGAGCCGTGCCATCCCCACGAGAAGCGCGCTGACGTCATTTGTCGCAGCCCGGTTTTGGGACCGAATGTCGCCCTGTATCACACGATACGCATCACATCAGCCCTCCGAAAGCACCGGGAAACGGGGGCAAGAGACAGAGCGCACATGTAAGCAGGCAGGAAACATGTCAGGACGTTCGTGAAGAAGATCGTGAGCATGCTGTCCCCGAGCCCGAGGAAGAAGAGACTGGGGCCGAGGAGCCCGATCCCGAATGTCGGCAGCACACAGTTCGCTGCCATCCACACGAAAAAGTTGCCGCTCGGGTGGTCGGGGCGCTGATCCTCCGGCACGCGCTGGATGCCTCGGGCCTCGATGCCGATCTAATGCAGCGAACAGATCGATCGGGTCAGAAGAAGAAAAAAACGGCGCGTTGAGGCGGGCGGTGGCGCACCTTGCGCTCGAGCGCGGCGCTGAGGGCCAGCGAGCGGCCCCAAAAGCTTGTCGGGTCGACGGGCTCAGCCTCCGCCCCGTCGAAGACGTTCAGCTCCTCCTTCGTTGGGTCATGGACGACGACGTCCCCGTGCGACGAGCCCTTCTCGGGATCTGAGGTAGAGCCGGAATCCTTGATGGACGACGACATGGGCGGGCCAAAGTCAGGGTCGTGTGCGGGAGGAAGGGAGGGAGGGGACGGAGGGGGACGGGCACTCGGAGAGGGGAAAAACTATGCGGACGCGAGACACTTTTTATTGAAATGTCGTTACAGGACTGGCTAGCCTGGGCGCCGGCAGATCAAATCTCCCGTATTCCATATGGCCGATAAGTGGGTCTCTCCCCCAAAACGGGACCGTGACCAAACCGGCAGCGGCGCGCGTGTGGGGAAGATAAGCATGTGCACAGGACTCTGGCTCGTCGTTTCGACGTTCGCTCCAGTCCAAGTGTCTGACACGTCGTCATGCGTGAGATGCTTACGGCGGATATGGCCTCACTTATGGGTGCAGAGCAGAGAGTTCGCGGATGGCCGAACAGAAGCATACACACACACGCTCGACACAATCACGCCGGCGTTCAGAGTTCTCCTGGCGCCCCCCATTCGATTTCAAAATCCCAGGCTGCGCAGGATAAGGGCCGCAAGCTTCATGCATGGCTGCGCTGCGACGCGGAGGCGGCTGTCTGCATGTCGCTCCTGTCGACGGACTTATCTCTGCGTACGTAACGTATATATGTCGCGCGTGCCTGGTCTGTCACAAGCTCCAACCCGAGCTCCCACCCACCCTTTGTCATGGCCGATCACTCCCGTCTAGAACCAGATCTGAGCCTGTATCTGTCTGTGTGTGCGTCTTCTCCTCCACCCCAGTTCCCAGGCCGACTTTGGCGCCCGCAGATCCTGTTGCGCTCCGGCGAAACGCCTCCCGCCCGGGACTTCCGGGGCTTCTGCTCAAGGAAGGCCCTGGGTCGGCCATCGTGAGATCTCCATGGATAAGTCGCGCGTGCCAAGAATAGTCGCATGGTCGTCAGACACTTATCTGCGACGTCTCCCCCCCCTCCCAAAGGCTGACGTCGCTAGACTATCAGATAGTGCGGTAGTAAGTACAGCGATCAGCGGTGCGGCAGTTGCATCAATGTCGAGCAATCCCGATCTGCTGCGTGGTCCTGCCAGGTCCTGTCTAGGCAGGATACGCTAGGGGGACAGGTATTTCCGGTCGAAACATCGCCGGATTCAGGCCAGTTTGCGCGGAACTACAGGCCGACAATCGTCACGTTGATGTGTGACTCCCCATCTCTTGACCGTGCTGGACGGTGATCTTGTGCGAATCCAACTTTTGGGCACTTGCACGCTCAGCAAGAGCAGACCATTGAAGCAGATCGACGACAGCTATCCATCCTCGGCGCTGGTCAGCTGGCTTGGAATCTTCTCTGGCTGACATAGCACTAGCCCTGCGGGCGAGATCCTGGCGAAAGTCTCCGGCATCTGCGCTTTCCTGCATGGGATAATCAGAGCTCCTACGTAGTGCCCGGGCCTTCTCCTGTCGGTACCTGAGTATCCCCGGCCCCCAGTCCCGAAGAGGACAGGGCTGTTTTACTAACAGCACGGCCCGACGCGCACAGCTGACCCACCCGCATCCAAGATGAAGCGCTGGCCCCACCCACCTCCAACTCCCATGTCTTTACAGCAGCCATCCAGCCATCGAGCCACCCCGCTGTTAGACTCGATCTTCGTGTCGCGAGCACCCTGTTCGCCGCCGGACGACCTAAATGCAAAAGTCAGAATGAGGCCCGCAGGCACCGTTTCATGATCAGCTCCCCATCCAATCTGTCCATTTTGCTCAACGATTGCTGGGCACGCTTCTCCTCCGGCGGACGACCTCGACGGGTACTGCGTGGCTCCCGAACCGGAGGCTGGCACCACATGCGCTGTATGCAGCCCTGGGTTCTCGTGGGGACACCGGGGCCCAGCGACTGGCGGTGATTGCGAACTCTGGTATGTAATGCCTCCTCATGCTAATGGCCAGATCAGCTTTTATCAAAGCTCCATTGGGGTCCCAGTGACGCCATTTTCGAATCCTGTGCGGATGCTTCTGCGTTGGAGGCGCTCGCCCATGCGTGAGACTTCGCGAGCTACGGGTTGCTACTTGGCGAAAAACCCTCGTTCAGATGTCGAGACGGATAATTGAATTGTACAACAGTGCTGTTATGTGATGATATAATACAGCTGCGGTGAGATGGCAAAAGCCCAAGTGCATATTACCACGAAAGTCTATGAAGAGACATGTCCGTCGTCGTTTCGGCAGCAGGGTCTATGAGTTTGAAACAGATGCTCGAAAGCAGACAGACAGACAGGACAGGGACAGCCATCATTCCGTCCTTTGCGAGGGAATCCGAATAGCACACAGCATGCCGCGCGTCGTGTCGCGCAGAGCGGCCTGTCCAGCCCAAGCCGAATAACCCTGCAGACAGACAGAGGCAATGACGCTAAGCATGCTCAGCGTTGAGCTCGTCCTGATGACCCGCATCCTCTGCTTCCTGCCTCGCACGCTCTTGCTCCACCCACTCCAGATACGCCGCCAGCCGTTCTGCCCCGCCGTCCTCCAGCTCGCCATCTCTCCGGATGCACACCAGAAAACTCTCAGGTGCGAGCGCTCTGCGGTCCGGCCCCGGCTCCGTTTTGTTCGGCTGTCCGACATATTGTTCCCAAAGTTCGCCCCACATGGCACCGGCGTCCTCTCTGGCGCCTACAAGTCGGTTCAATGCCAGCAGATCCATGTCCGGGATCAGCAGCGGTGGCGTGCGAGCTATTGCCACTGCCCATCCGGCACCAGCACCGCTGCTCTCGACGACTCGCACAATTTGCCCTTCAACCAGTGACATCTCCGACGTGTCCTCCGGCTCGAAAGCGAACTGTGCCTGATACAGCCCAGGGGGGACAGGAACATCAGCGTAGTCGTCATACGGTTCGTCATCGTTTTCGTCGTCGGCAGCAAAGTTGCGCGCCAGGTCAGCAGACGACACGTCCGGCCGGGGCGAGGGCAGCGACCCCGATCCTGACGACGACCCGACAGTGCCCCACAGGCCGAACCGACCGAGGCCACCCCAGCCGTTGTCGACCCCGTCTTCGTCCTCGTCGATGTCCACGTCGTCCTCGCCCGGGCCGTAATCCGACTGCCGGCTCTCGCCCAGCAGCCGCCGGCGCAGCACACGCGGGTCGTTCAGGCGGGGCACGTCCGGGCCCTGGCCCGCGTGCCGCGGATCCTTCCCGTCGAACGCAAAGTCGCGGATGACGATGGGTGCGCGGCGGGCCGCGATGGCCTGCGCGGAGCCCGGCATCCCCTCGGGTGAGGAGGCGACAGTCACCACCAGATCGTCCGCCGCGCCGGCGCCGTCCGCAGGCATGCTGGCAGTCGCCACGCCCGTGACGTCCGCAGCACTGATGCTCTGGCTCAGGCGATGCCTAACACCCGCCAGCACTTTCGAGGTTCGGCGGCTGTGGCTCGCGCTGGCGGACCCGCTCCGCACAGAGGCGGAGGACGACGATCGGGCGAGGGAGGTGCGCCGGGACAGGCCGGGTGATGAGGGCGCGGGCCGCGTGCTGCTGAGCAGCTCGCCGAAACCAGTGGGGGTTGTTGGGGTGCGAGGTGCAGAGGACGGAGGCGGTGGGAATGACACCCGTTTGGCGGAGAGTGGCGTTGGAGTGGAACCGCCAGCGGAGGGCAGGCCAGTTGCGGAGGAGCCCTGCTGTAATATCGGAGTTGTCCCCGTCGCTCGGAAGTCGCTCCCAATCGGATTCGACGTGGCAGTAGGTGTAGGAGAGACCGGGGATTGGACGAGGACCGGGTGCAGGAGAGCGTTCTCGTCTAGCCGAAGTGGCGTTTTTGCTTTTGTAGTTGTGGTCATTGCAGAAGATCTTCTCGGGCGATTGCGATGGGCTGCGTGCGTAGATTGTGAAGGGAGATGCCAATGGGAGGTCAAAAGTGGCTGTGACCCGGTTGCCATCGTTACCCAATCGATTACCTCAGGGTCGATCACCCGATTTTAGGATCAAATGGCGGGCAGCGCATCTGATGCGACACGCTTGGCTGTGACACCGCTTCGGTACTTCAGACCTGCAAAATGCTCACAAACTACTCCAGCTCATCGTCAAACGCCTCTCCTTTCTCAAAGATGACAGTACTTATAGCCATCCTACCACTCATCCACTTGAAATGTATGGTCAAAATATAGTACAGTTTATCAGCGAAGACTCGATAAACTGGATTTTTCAGTGTCAACGAAATCAGTCATTCAAAGCAATTGGATGGGGTATCGAATTGAATACATGTCTGCCTGTGCTCTGTGCTGTCCTTTGGACTTGTATATACAATGTTCTTCGACGATTACGTTACGGACATATGCTGAGAAAACAGTCATTCCAGATCCTGCAGCAGGCGAAAGATATTCTAGAAAACTATCAGCCTCTGCAATGTATTAGTGGGAGAGGAGGGAAAGTAGACGGACCAACAACAGAGTCTGGCTCGCCGGGCACCATGCCCAGACGAACCTCTTCTTCACAATCGCAGAGACACACCCAGTCGTCAGAGCCCCAAGCCTCTGAGGGCCCATCAGCACCCGCCGGACATCTGTCGCTTCGAGATTCGAGCCAGCCTTCTGCAGAGCCTCGCTGATGGCGGTGAGTCGAAACAACGAGGGCTCGACGTCTTCGGCGAGGAAGGTCAGGACGGAGTGGAAGGTGCGGGCGGTCAGGAGGGAGTGCTCATGCAGGGCTCCGACCACGCGAGCGAGGTTGAAGCCTCGGGAGTAGGGCGAGTCGTAAGGCGTCGGTAGGTGCAGTTCGATGGACCAACCTCCAGTGGGCTAAACTCAATGTCAGCGCCAATCCAGGCCTTGATTCTGGAAAGATGCCGTACCTTCCAATACGAACTGAATGTCTTAACAACCTCCTCCTCTACCAGGTGGTTCCAGCTCTTCATTCCTCCGAGGTAATGCTGCCCCAGGCGCTCCGCGACAAGACACACACTGATTACATTGGCCGCATCCTCGGTGGCACGGCGCAAGAGGTGCGAAATGACCGAAACCGGATCCGTCCCGCGGTCCAGCTGCTCCATGCAGTACCCAAACAGCTCGCTCTCCATCACCGTGAAGCCAAACTGGTCCGCATCCTCCCCGTCGCCATAGTACTTGTCCACTAGCGTCTCGGGATCCGAGCACGACGAATCGGACGATGCGGAGGGGGAGCGCCACCGCTGGGCGCCCGGCACGAATGGGCGCGCGTGTACGTTGAGCGCCCGGCCGCGTTCGAGTGATGGTCGCGAAGGAGAGCTTGGCCGCCGCATCACGACGGCGCGCAGCGGCTCGACGATCTCGGCGACGTGTCTGTGGTGCGTATAAACCGAAGGAGGCTCATCATCGATCGTGCCCAGTGCCATCTCCATGTCCTCAAACTGTTCGAAACCCGTCTCGAGTTGGTCGCGCACGCGAGCAGGACGGGATTTCGGACGCTCGTCTTCGTTGAACTCGGTGGCATCGTCGTAATGCGCGGTGCGGAAGTCGTAATGCGGGGTATAGGACACACACACTGGGTCCATAGTTGACATGGGAAAGGAGAGAGAGTGGAGGCGACGGCTTTGTACGAAGGGCTTGCGGCGCCCACAGAGCTCCGGTTATAAAGCCCACTCGGATTGGAAACGAGGCGGCACGGTGGGACCAAGCGCTCGGTTAGGACAATGGCGTAGCCATTTGCCTTTGTCTTCGAATTGCCGCTTCGGGGAATCGTCAGCGTCAGTCCTTTGAGAAAGGCTCATATTTCTCGCAACCCACACGACTCGAGAGATCCATTGTCTTCTGTCTGCGTTTCGGAGACCCTGTGAGAGGGCCCGAGTAATCCAAAAACGTCTGATAGGGTCTGGGTCTGTGGCGGTGCACGCAGGTGGCTGGCGACACGATCACGTGTGATGTCCAATTCGCACAAGATGAACACATGAGTGAAAAACAGTCGCTAGCTCGGCGAGTACGTCCCTTTTTGGGGGACTCTTAGGTGTTAAGAAATTCTGCACAGTCATTCATGTCTTTCAGAATTTCTCATCAGCCTGCAATGTTGATCCCTAGATAATCAGAGCAGGTAAGATCAAGTACAGTAATCCCAACTTTTTTTTTGCACAAAGTTCGAATGAGAAGTTAAACTCAGATGAATCTGTACCATGTTGGGAGAATTTTTGTGAACACACAGGTTGCCTGCTCTCCGCTATAGTTCTACAGGAGGTCGTGACGAACCTTCTTACTTCAGAAGGCAGTGCACCTTCCGAGCAATATATATGAATAGGATAGCCTGTCATCTCGAGCTTCAGTAAAACCCTGCTTTTATCACGGTGAAGTTATACGCAGATACAACCAATGAGAATCATAAATGCATGAAGCAAGAATCAGCGCGAACGTTGAACACCAACCACGCGCCTTTTCTTATTACGGGCGCTGTGTCTGGACCAGCGGGTTCTGTCGCAGACAATACCGCGCAGTGGAGATACGACCAGTAGCGATCACCTATAAGACAGAGTCTCAGCGAGTGTAGAGACACAGGAGCTATATCATTAGCTGTACCTATAAGACAGAGTCTATGGTACAAGTCATAAGTAAGGTCATTAGATCGTAAGGGAGAATGCATACCTCAGCGAGTGTAAGACACAGGAGCTGAGGATATGGAGCGTATAGTACTAGGTTTATATACCAGTCTGGAGCAGATATCATGATGTCATAGTGGAGTAATGATATCATAGATGAGTAATGGATGACGCAATAATGAGGTCAGGTATGAGGTCATTGTGGAGCGAGCCAAAGTAATCTAAGAATACTACTTATGATGTCATGTCTACATACTGTGATAGTCGCTAATACAAACAAGCTTCAACAGGTTCTTGATATCGAACAGAAAAATCACTCTCTGCGAAGAGCCATCGACTCCTCTGCGATGGGTCGGAAGCTGTTTTGGTATACGCTCAAGAATTCCGTATCGAACTTAACCTAGCGAATCGTCTGCGCTCAGTTCGCTGCACATCGCGGCGGTTCGAGTCGCACTGCTTGCTATGAATAGTTCCTTTCAGTTGGTGAACGCACAAGATTCATAAGATTCTCCTTCTCATGTACCGATCGAATTGGCAAGCATTGTAAAACTCTTCCTGAACTTGGATGTAGGCGGGATTTGGATCTATATAGAGCACGAGCTTCCTAGCTGCAGTCTATCTTCCTTTGGAGAGTGTATGCCCTTAGCAGGTCCTCTATGCGTTTCATGGGACTCTCCCAAAGATCGAGAAATGTCAGTTTTTGTCACTGTAAGTAGATGATTGACAGATCAATGATCGCTGGATGCTGGCCTTGGCCTTGGGCAGTAACATGTCTTATCTTGAACCAGAGAAGGCAGGTCCATATCTACTCTGAATTCAGGCAGAGACCGGGGGATGATCGTAATATAAACATGGCGACGCAAACAATAGTCCGGTATCCCTAAAAATCAAACCAAACGACCAATAACTGGCTCGACCTGGATTTTCGCCAGCCAATCCTGCCATAGATTGAGGATGTCGTGCGGGGGGTCCGAAAGCATCTGGGAGGTATAATCAGCATGGAGAAAGAAAACGAAACAGAGCTAGGCATACCTGGAGCCACGATATCACAGCGGTGGCTTCGGCTGCCACCCGCGAGTAGACGAATCTGGACTGCCTCAGCGCATCGAGCAGGCCTGCCGACGGCAGTGCATGCGCCAGATGCTTCGTCCACCGCTTTCGCACATACTGGTACGTAATCCTATGCAAACGGATGAGAATCAACATCCCCGTAACAGTCTGCACGCGCACAGGTCGACCCCATCCTCGGCATCGTCCATCCCGTGCCCCAGAAACCGGATGCACCGCCTCGCCATCTCCCCGTGGTGGATGCCGTGATTGACCCACAGATGGCCGGGCGCGCGTCTTGCGTCGAACAGAAACTCGATCGTGTTTCGCTGGGGGATCCGGATCGTGCGTCGGCGCTTGTGGCCCGGGTTCCATGGGGTGCTCGCGAGATCCAACGCCGGGCTGTCCTCCGGTACGTGGACGACCGGAGACGCAGTTTTCAGCGCTTTGACCGCTTCTTGTTCGATGGGGTCGAGAAGGTTTCGCAGCTCATTGAACGCCAATGGCTTGTACAGGACCGTGAGCGAGCCAAGCGCACGGAGCAGGGAAGCCGGTCCGGTCCGGGGATCACGTGGCGAGACAGTCGAGAGGATATACGTGACCAGCTGCTCGAAAGGACTCCTGCCGATCGCAGGATTCGCGGCAGCAGAAAGCACCTCGCTCAGCCTCTGCGAAGGCAGGCCATCTGGATGGCCGACATATTGCATGACCGTCGCAGCGTACAGGAAATGGCGGGCAGTCGTGTTGACGAGGAAATGGATGATGTCCTCTGTGGGCCAGTGCTCGGACTCAGCAGTGGCCTGGAACGCCGGATGTGTGGCCTCGATGTGCGCGAATTCGGCTTTGAGAAAGGAGAAGATGTCCGCGTCGAACGTGAGCTCGTCGAGGTGAAGATGGAGACGAATGGGCCGGTATGTCGGGCTGTTGATCGCCAGGAGAATGTCGGGCGACGGTCGGGAGGTGACAAAGAAGTATAGCGGGAGGTGGTGCACTGCGATCAAGCGCGCAATCAGAGACAGAAGAACGCGCTGATTCTCCCCTCCGACACAAGCATCCAACGCATCAATCACGACCAACACCGGATCCATCGCCGCAACATCGACACCGACTCCTGCCAAGGCCGCAAACGGCTCCAGTATAAGTTCATGCGCCTGGACCTCGACATCGCGCGTGCGGATCGCCGTATCTTGCTGCACCGCTTGGGAGATGTGCGGCCTGAGTGCGGGGATCCGCTCCGCCAGCTGCCGCGCGATGGCAGGCACCACGGCCTGCACGTCGCACACCTCCGCGTCCGCGTGGTCGAAGAAGAACGTCGCGCCGAGCGACCCCGGCCCGCGGTGCGCCGCGCAGTACTCCGCCACGGTCTGCGCGACGGCCGATTTGCCACAGCCGGGCGAGCCGCAGAGCCACATGATGCGCGGGCCGACACGCAGGCGCACGTTCTCTGTCCATGCGAGGATGCTCGAGAAGACGGGCTTGCGGGTCTGCCCGTGGCAGCGTGGGACGGGCTCGCGCGCGGGCGAGTCGTAGAGGGCGCTGCGGGGGAGGAACGCGTCGAGGAGGCGGATGCCTGCAAGCGGAATGGAATGGGGAAGGGGGTCTGAGTCAGACCAAAGATCTGGCAAAGATGGATGAATACCACCACGCACCGTCCTCGCCGGAGTACAGATCCTCCCGTGCTGGTGGTGCGGGCGCCGCGCTGGAGCTCGAAGGCTGCCCCGTGTCTAACATTGCGGGGTAGGGCAGCTCTGCAGGGCGATGCGATGAGGCCACTGGGGCTCAGATATAAGTACAGATATGACCAGGCTCCTCGGCAATTGTGACGGTCGGCTGCTTCTGTAGACCGATGGTGTGCCGCGGGAACGGCTCGGAGCCAGACCAGGCGCGAGTCCAGGTGTCAGGGTATAGTGAAAGATCCACAACAACATCCGTCGCACATCTCAATCAACAGGTATGAGTGGGATGATCCGTTGCTTATTCGGAATGAGCGAGGTATTCGGATAGATTGTGAGCCGACGAACAGATGGTGTGTGCCTGTGCTTGGTGCAGGTGGATGACGTGCCCTGATCAGGTGACGTGTTCTCTGTCTCCCCAATCATTCAACTGCAACGCACCATCTGGAACGTTTTTTGCCTTCCGGTTGAAGTAGTCTGAGATTACAACCAACGTCTTCCTGTCCCTTTAAAATTCTGAAGTCTTCGAATTCCGACCGCCGATTTCCGTGATCCCAACTGATTGCTCATGATCTGCGCGTAAATTTGGCTGCGATAAAACATGGGTTCGACGGTGTATGTCCAACGCACCATGTGTGTTCTTGCTAAAGTCACTGCTTCTCCCTTCCTTTTCAGCTGGCACATGACGTTCGCCATCCAGGCGTTTTGAGAGTGCCACATGATTCGAGAGGAATTTAGCCGGATGTGCAATCCCCAGATTCTATAGGTCTGCGCAAAGCAAGAAATCTATTTACGAGCTGGTAGGCCCAGAATCCCGGAGTGGTGTGCACGGCTTCCGGCCGACTGTCCCAGCAATCAGGCCTGGAAGATCATCAACAATTTATGTGGAAGCACAGAGCCCAGCAGACTTCAATTCAAGTGCTTTCTCTCTCAGAGCTCCTTGTTGGTGTTGATAGCTAGAATCGAGATAGTGCAAAGCTGGGCCTTGCAGATCCTATCTCTTTTATGTCTTCCGTTCAGTGCCGCACGTTCCTGATGATAGAAAGATTGAAACGAGAGGAAGACTCTCGTCTTGACGGTCGACATACGGTTTACTGAACGGCAACAAGTCTTCCCTACTTAGATCCCGTCCACCAGGATTGATCTTGGAGTGAACAGCACGGGGCAAGATGTGAGAAGCGGCCTTCAGATCTCTGGTGCAGAGATCATTCGCCGGGAAAGCCGAATAGCCTTAGCTCCAGAGAACGCCCTGTTGACGGATTGCCCACGACGAAGAGTCCCTTGGCTGTGAATGTCGGCTCGCATTGCGCTCGCCACCAGTCGGTGGTATCCGGTACATTCTGCGAAGACTCCACGTCGCATCAACACACGGAACAAGCTCCATCGCTCGGTTTGTTGCACAAAGAACAACGTATCGGGTCCCTTGAGCGGTTTCGCACATGGTGGACCAACAATGAGCTTGAGAGGCGAGATCCAGTTGCTGAATATGTCCTTCAGGGCGTACCAGCAAGAAAATCGCGCTCGCGAACATGACCGAAGTAGACACTATGAGGAGCTTTATATATCATTTGCCCTCTGCCACATCCCCCAAACGCGTAGTAACAAGAAATGACCGGGGTTTCTCGCCATCAGCATTGGACGCTCGAGCGTCAAACCGCCGCTTACACCACGGGTGCCGAGAAGAGTTCGGCAAGGGAGCTTCGTCAGAGATAATGACTTGAGTAGCATCCAGACACCGGAAACCACCCGCTTGGCTTCTGAGAAAGACCATAGAGCGTCTAGAACCGTGCTGCGCAGTGCAATTGCCCATGGTGACACAGAGAGGGATTGCGATTTGTGAGAAACACCCCGCCGTTGGTGCGCGCTTGATAGGCTCAGCTCATTGTTTAGACGATCAGCATGCACCGATGTGTTGATATGGTATGAAGTGTGCGTGCGAATGACACGCTGTCGGTGTTTGGACCTGTGGACATTCATCCCATGATCGCCCAGCGAGTCCATGACATAATCAAGGAGAAGAAACGCACCACCCAGTACCACTCATCAAACACAAACGGGCGAATCTGTCACAGCGACGCAGTGCGTGATACTGAGCTTCCGTCGCTTCATCTCAGTGCTGTCAGCAAGCAATTCACACCGGGCCTGTAGGATGTTGCAGTCGGGCACTGTCAGCGCTCGAGCTGAGGCCATTGCAGCTGACGAACAATATGATATTGGGCGGAACCTCAGGAACCACGGTACCCACCCGATTCACTTAAAAAGTGTCCCCGTGTCCCACAGATCCAAAAGTCCTTTCCTTCCCGAGTTCTGGGCGACTCGCCCAGCTATCTCTACGCTCACCGATGTCGGAAACGCCGTACACCATCGCCGTATCGGACGATGCCCTGGCCTCGCTTCACCAAAAACTCAAAGCGACGAGATTGCCGGACGAGCTGGACGAGGCGGCGTGGGACTACGGCGTGCCACTGGCAGACATCAAGCGGCTCGTCGCCCGATGGCGCGACGGGTACGACTGGCGCACGCACGAAGCTGCTCTCAATGCGGAACTGCCTCAGTTCACCCGCGACATCGCTGTGGACGGCCACGGGACGCTCAACGTCCACTACGTTCATCAGAGGAGCGTAGTACAGGGCGCAGTCCCGCTGTTGTTCGTGCACGGGTGTGAGTTGCGGGTTAGGATCGGGTCTTCAAGTGGACTGATGGGTGCTTTTTCTCGCTAGGGCCGGGCAGCTTCTTCGAGGCAAGGAAGATCGTGCCGTTGCTTGTCGCGCGTTCGAGTGAACATCCGAGTTTCCACGTTGTTGTGATGAGTCTACCAGGGTGCGGGTTCTCTGAGGCCCCGAGAAAGAAGGGATTCGCCATTGACCAGCATGCTGAGGTTCTTATGCGCAGCATTCGTATACGCTCAAGAGTCTGACAAGGCGTAGGTCGGCCACAAGATCATGCTTGCGTTGGGTTACAACGAATACGGTGAGATGACCTGAGCTCAAACGTCTTCGACTCTGACACATGGATTCAGTCACACAAGGGGGCGACTGGGGCTACTTCGTACGCTGATCCACGATCCATCTCCAGTGTTTCTGTTCAACAATCTCGCAGATCACGCGCCGCATCGCGAAGCGCTATGGCCACCAGCACAACAAAGCCTGGCACACCAACTTGCCCTTGTGTGTGCTCCGTGCAACTAGACGCCACTCTTTGATCTGATTCAATCTAGGGGACGTCCACCGACGCTTTACTACGAGCCGCTTTCATTTTTGGCTTTGTGTGTAAGAGGGTTGACGCAGGAGGAAAAAGACGGTCTTGCGCAGACGGGACGGTTCAACAGCCGCTCGAGAGGATTCCATGCCCAGCAATCGACGCGACCCCAAACTGTCGGCTACGCGCTGGCCGATTCCCCCGTCGGACTACTGGCCTGGATCTACGAGAAACTGGTGGAATTGGCGGACAAGTATCCCTGGAATGACGACGAAGGTGCGTGATCCTTTCCTCTTCGTTTTCGGCTAGTCACGCATTAGCCACAGTCCTGACCTGGATATCTATCTACTGGTTCTCCCGCGCCGGGCCCACTGCGGCCAGTCGCATCTATTATGAGTTTGCAGAGGGTCGGTCGGATGTGACAAAGGACATCTATGGACCCGCAGATTACCCGACTATCCCGATGGGCATGTCTCACTTCGCGGGAGAAAAGGTCAATATCCAGTTAGGTGTGTGTGTTCCTTCGGCCCCAAAAACGTGCGCTGATCTTCGATATCCATCTCTTCCAGCTGGACCAATGCCTCCGGAAACATCGTACACCGTAACAAGCACGAGCGTGGAGGCCATTTTCCTGCGTATGAAGCTCCGCATTCGCTCGTCGATGATCTACGTGCGATGTACGGAAAGGGCGGCCCGGTGTTCGACATTGTGAAAGGACACAGCGGCTATGATTGAGAGACGCAAGATGGGTTTGCCAGAGTGTAGTCGATCGGTGGTCCTGTAGAATCAACTGCCAGAATGAGACCACCTGGGCGGAAATTTAAGCTCCGTTCCACCCAAATCAACGATAGTGACATTGTAGGGACAGGGAGGATTTGTTATATCCGTCATATATTTCTCTCTCGGTAGGTTTTTTCTGAGATGTTTGATGTTACTAGTCCGGGATCCTGCCAGCCAAACAACAGATCTTCGCACACCGCCAGATGTTAAAAAAATGAGCCATAAAGATAGATTTTTATTTTAAATATTGTAACACAAAAACAGAGCCACAATCAGCAACTCTTTATCTTAAGAAAAATGGTCATTGATCGGATTCCGGTTACATTAGTTATTGTGTCCCAAAAAGGGGGTCAGTATTGATGAGATATAATATCCCAAAATGTCGGGCACTTTTTGAGACATGTTTGGTCGAATATAAGGGTCCAATTTTTATTGACAGATGGTGGCACACGATTTGGGGCTCAATATCCTCCAAATAAAGTCAAAGATAAGCGTTTATGATATCTGAGATATCGCGGTCCGAAAAAAGTCCGCCCGATATCTCCGATATCATGTCCCATTTTATCTATCCACGAATGATCGGTCGCTCATCGGTCGCTCGTCCGTTGCCCGTCGTTTCAGCACACATGAAAGCAGTTGATAGCGTATTATAAAAGGTACAGATGATTACGATGGTATGTATCTATATATCTTCGTACGGTAAGGTTGCAATAAAATCAGCGTGAACAGCTTCGAGGTTCTTGGCAAGTTTACCCGCAGCGCTGTAGCCACGGATTCGCTGCTTCCAGTTGGTGTTGTTGATTACGGCAGCCTTGTTGGTCTTCATCTCATCCAGAATCCCTTGGAACCAGCTCTCGCAATCCGGCGTCCACCAGCCAACACTCAAACCAGACGAATACCATGCTCCTGCTTGAGGCCACCACGAAATGCGCTTCTCCTGATGCCCATTGCGAGCATTGGGATCCAGCTGGTCTGAAGAGGCGGATATTAGCAAATGTAGAATCGTTAAAGACAGAACCTACTCATTTCGATGCTGTAAACGCCCAGAACTAGATCTTCTTCTTCCTGAGTTAAGCAATGCTGATACAGCGATGTGCCACCATTCACGATGCGTTCCTCGGCGGTCCCGACATCGACAAAATGAGATCTCAGCTCAAGCTCTGCATCTTCGATCACCAGACGTGCTAGGCGTGCGATAATCCCTCCTGCTTGGAGGGCAAGTCGACCACGGGGGGAAAGAAGGAACGAACGCATCATGTCCCAGTAGATGAGACGATCCTGCTCATCTGGATTGTAATCCTCTGGGCGGACTCCGAGACTGCGACACCGGTATTGATCCGGTCGATAGGACGATGCTGCGAACGTGGAAGCTTCAGTGACGATGTGAAACTCGCACCCAAGATCGAACAGGCAAGATATGAGTGCCGCCCAAGTGGAACAACGAAGTCGGGCGACTTGAATGGCGGTGGTGGCATCTGAAACGTACAGCTTCCGACCGGTGGATCCTTCCTCGGCAGGATGCAACACGTACACGAACATACAATGAGCTGGACCGCTCAAACGCCGCCATACAAATAGCTCGACACCTTTCTTGCTCCAGACGTTAAGTTGCAGTGCATTGTCTGCTAGATCAAAGAGGTCGGGCGGAAGGTCATTGACACGCTTAGTGCCTTTGAGCGCAAGCATCAGAGCTCGAGCCGCATGGCTCAGTGGCTGCGGCCTTGAAGAACCCGCATACCAAGAAAGCGGCGGCACAAGCCGACATCCATCAGTTCAGAGTCGTCAAACGTGCGCTCTGGCCTCTTGAGCTCGTCTAGATCTCGTGGCTCGCGTGGCTCGCCGGTGAACCCGACACGGTACTCGAGGGTGGCTCTGACAGGGTTCCGGTCTGCGACATCCACAATAGGTGCGTTCAGAAGCTGTATATCTTCGCGGTTTTCCTTGTGGTAGGTGTCGAGATTTTGGAGAAACAGCCGTCGTATTCCCAAGCGTGGATTGCACTTGAGGAGGAAGTCCGTCGGGCATCTCGGCATCGAAGTCTCCCGCCTGAAGCGGAGCTTCCCTGCCATATATGTCGGCGAAGTCGTCGTTGTCGTTGTCGTTGTCGTCGCTCGGTTCGGCTCGAGCCACGGGGTCGAGTGGCGAGCAAAGATCCCACTTGTTGGAGAAGGAATCGTACACCCGCTGTGAGGGAGCGAAATCGGACCATTCGTCTTCAACGCAATTGCGTTGAACCAGTCGACGGATGTAGAACCCTTCGGTCTGTTCCCACATGAAAACTCTGGCACCTTTCCGGCCCGGGCAATTTTGGCTTCTCGCAGCGTTTTCGCGTTGGAGGCGAGTTTGCAATTGTTTCGGACTTTCCTCCGCAAGCTTGCGCGCTTTGCGCCGAGCAAAGAACTCGGTGAAACTCTCTCCCTCCTTCTGGCCACTGTGGGCCTCAACTGGTGGGAACTGCTGTCGGCGTCTCTCCAAAGTCTCGTAGTACTCTGGGTTAATGAAGACTCCGTCTCGTCTCATGATCCTCGGAGCGAAGACGTATTTCAAGACGGATACCGGGTTCGGCGGTGATTGATTCAAAGCGCGGATCGAGGCCTGAACATTCAATTGGATGTTCTGCATGGAGGGGAACACCTCTAGACGCGATGCCAGTTTCACAGCTTCTTCGCCTTTGCCCAGGAAGAGATAGATTGGGGGTTGATGACGGCGGTTCCGTTGATCAGGAGACCAAAGAGCCAGTCGGCATCTTGGACACTTTGGAGAGTAAGGTCCAAGATCATTCCAGCTGGATGCCGGAGGAATCGTTGAACCAACTCCTCCAACGAGTCCAACAGTCTGTGCTGAAGATTGAGCTGCTGGATGAGTCTCGTTCTCCACGACGTGTTCTGGTTGGATCCATCCAAAGCAACGAAATGGAGTGCAATAGCAGCGAGAAGAGGGGTGAACACGTCTCTTGAGTGATATACGGCTCTGAGAAGGTCTTCTTCAACGTCATATGTGTTCAAGTAACCATGAGCAGCAGGCTTCGCATGCAATACGATCCCAGCTGGGACAAGTCCCTGCACCTCGGACCGTAAAGCAGTAACGACCTTGCACAGAAACCCTTCTAGACCGCTCCACTTCTCAACGAGATCAGATGAGAGACTCCATTGTGATCCACTCGAGGACGTGGTTTTGCTCGTCGGAAGGGAGCGGGAGTCGATGTCGAGAACGGAAAGAAGGTCCCCGTCGAAGATCGGGCGACGTGGTCCACAGCATAGATAAGCACGGGAATAGCTAGCCCAGCTCGTCGAGTATAGTGCCGGACATGCATCAGAGTCTTTATGGGGGCGAGGGATATCAAAAAGAGCGGGAGAGTCCGCGTTGAAGACGACGAAGACCCCGATCTCGTTACGGATGACGCCGTGAAAGTATGCTGAGGGCTGCAGATAAGTCAGGACGTATTTCAAAACATTTGAGGAGACGTTTACTCACAGGGAGACTCTCTTTCTCGATAGCGTCCAAATGGGCGATGGGAATCAGACAATGAGAGTTGACCTTGGGCAACATTGTAGGAGCGGAAGGCGGAGAACTGCGCGGCAAACGCGTCGGTTCTCGAGCGGAACTCGGCGGCAAACGCCTGGGTTCTTGCCTTCTGCTATTCCCGCGTTGATTCATGGAGGTGGAGGACGAAGGGCAAGTCAGGAGGTCGAGGCAAGTCAGATCGCAGCACGTGGATGATCCATTGATGATCCATCGATCATCAAACGATCCATGGATCATCAATGGATCTTGTGACGCATCCCACTTCTTTGTCTCAAACGAGACTTAAGTCCTCAATGGGTTCCAGGTGTTTGCCACCGGAACCTCTCTTCTCTTTCAACCACCAACAAATTGGCTTGGACTGCCATTTGAATCATCTACCCTCTACAATAACCATATTGGCTTCCAAGTGTTTGTCACTGGAACCATCTAACTCGCGTCTTTTTTGTCGGCGTCGCTGGTTCTACAGCGCACTTCATGGCAAGTACGCAAAGAGTACGGGATGGATTGGTGGAAGCTCCATACGAGCGTGTTCAACGCACCTCCAGTTTGTGCAATGTTAAGCCGGTCGTAACCACGCAACACGTCGTTGACGGCGGCGCATTCACCGGCTTGTACATCTTCAGGGTTTTCAAGGGTGCTATCCTGCTCCTTCGTATCCCTTTGACAGTTTTTCCTGTTCATCTGGATGCTTGCCTTCCTTTCGGGGCCATGTCACATACCATCCAGGCTGCTTTCCGGCCGCTTTGCTCGATTCCTGGACTCAGTAGCTCCATGCTCTGCGTGCCTGCGCAATCTCTGTCGAACAAGGGAACTCCACAGTGGGCAGATTTCCCGTCCTTAATCAGCCTGCAGACCTCGACTATCGAGCAACTTTTGGATGAATCGACCTCCGGATCCTCCCTAGCACTTCAAATGAAGAAAGCGGAGATAGCTACGACGGATCTAGTGATTTTGGTCGGAGTGAGCAAGCTCACGAGTCGCGAGGCATTGACCGATGCTCTCCGCACCTTTGTCGACGACGCGCGACTCACTGGACGCTCCTTGAACAAACTCAACGCAAAAGTCTCCGGTGCAGTGGATGGGTAAGTCAACTCAGATTCCGTCTTAGCACTCGCTGATATACTACCCAGGATCATGGCAGTCAATGATTACGCTCTACATGCCATTGAAGCCGCGGAAGAGAACTTTGCCCTCGCACTGTGGAATAGGCTAATTCCATGGAATCGACCAAAAGCGGACGTTATACTCAACACATTTGAAGACTCGATGAACTATCTATCGTTTACTCTCCAAAGGCTCGTTGTGGAATTCGAGATCAACCTGCACAACTTGAACAAGCTCGAAGAACAATTGTCCGTTCTCCACGAGATCGTCACACGCAAAGATATCTTCTTCTCTGCCGCCAAAACCAAGCTATTGTCCAATCTGTGGACTGTGCTAGGCGGAAACCGCAAACAGCTGCGTGGATACCAGAATCATTTGAAGCTTTTGGAGGGTCTTGGGAACTACCGCAAACAAGCGTTGGTCCACGTTATCTCTGCACTCCAAACCCTCACCCAAATGAGTGACGATATCGAAAATCTTCGAGAAAGAGTCGCTGCACCTGGATTGACAGGTTCGAGGATCCCTGCTCATGTACACATCAAGAGCATTCATAGTGGGCTCGAGCGCATCAAAGAGGGGAGAACTAAGGCTAAAGAGAAAGAAGTTCATGCTGTGCGCCGTATCGTTGGCGGATCGACAGACTGATGAGATTATGTACTTTGCTTTTACTCAGATATCGTTTGTATACGTGCATATAGATAGTGACAACTCAAGTGAAATGTGTTCAGACTTGTGAATCTGTAATCGAGCCCTTGAATGTGTGCTTTGAGAGCTAAGACTCGATTGAGTCTGAACGCGTCGCAAAGGATGAGATCAAAGATCAAAGCACGTGATTGTGCTCCTCACGTGTACGTCACCCTGTCTCGAACGACGATGTACTCATGGTTCCAGGTGTCTGCCACCGGAACTATACCATTGTCAAACCGACTCTTCTCAGGGTCTTCCATGGCTTCGCTCGCTATCAGGTGTCTGTCACGGTATCGTCGACGCTTGCTTCACTTCTATCAGACGTATGACGTTGATAGAGGTCCATTCGCTCAGGGCATCGAGATTGTTCATTGCGATGCGATTGACCTCTACTACGATATCTACATATACTCTAAAATCCCATGCGCTCAGTTGCCGCCACAAACAACGTGAATACTTGCTTTGACACCTTCACTTCCTTGAGTTCCTTTGGGGAGAGTGATTTGAGCCAGTCTTTGTTATACAAACTCTCCGGGAGTCCTTTCGGGACAGCTCTGGATCCGTACGTCTGTCCGCGAACGCGAGGAGCGGGCTTTGCACCAGTTTGAAGTGTCTGGAAGTGCGCCGTTTGGACGTCCACCATGCGCATGTAATCCGCAATGACGGGCTCCCGCCACCAACACAGCAGAATCTTATACGTCCGAATCTTGGATCCCATGTGGGTTGCGGGGTCTCTCCTCCTCCTCAGACATTCCATTCGCACCAAGCAACACCAAGAGATCCAACATCCTCTTCCAAGTCGCAAGATTGTTTGCACCATCCTCTTCCTTCAGGGTGATCGTCGACTGAACGGTGTTGTGACAATGGTTGTATTTCTAGTGGATTGGATCAGACGAAGAATCGTTTCCGAAAGGAAGCACATACATCGTGTTGAGCATTTATCGTCTTGGACGACATCCGACGCTGGAACAAGATGACTTGGCCACGGGCAATCGCTTCAGCCCTGGTCTCCATACGATCCTTACTCGGGTCCCACTTCGGTTGGAACTGCTTCCAATTGCCGCGGTATCGGGCGAGTTGCTCAGCAGCGATGTACGCGAGGAACTCGCGCTGAATGAGACCCTTTCGGACGTAGCCCATGCCGTCGTTATCTTCTTCTCAGCTTCTGCAACAAGTCGCTCCAACACTGCCATATTCCAAGCGGAGCTGGTATATCCCTCGCTGAAGTCAAACTGCCATTTGCGGATGCAGGCTTGGTCATCGTTGGCGAAAGCTTCCACTTCTTCCTCCGTTGCAGGCGTGTGGAAGATGAAGTCTGTGGCCTGCTCGCAGCCGAATCTTTGATAGGTCACCTGGCGCATCATGGCCTGACACCAGTTAGTATCTTTTCCCAGTCATAGCGAATCGCAACTTACATGTGCCTTTTTCACTAGATCACCTGTTTGGGGAGCAACGGCCGCTTTCTCCTGCGCTTTGCGCTTACTCTGTTTCCCTCCACCGTTTGTCGAACCAATCATCACACGGGCACGTCCATTATTCACCAGTTCCATTACTCCCATTAACTTGGAGAGCACATCAGCATCGACGTCCAACGATTTCGCAACATCCGCGATAGCCAAGTCTACAGTTGGCCGCGATGGTCCAGCACTAGCGGGAACGGGTGCAGGATCGAGTGGGAGCTGAATCAAAGGCGGCGTCCGGGATTGAATAGCTCCGTGCTGACACGTCCACGCCGTTTTGCTGTCGGACTGTTGCTCACTTTCGAACGCGCATTCCTCCTGATCGTTTGTCGAAGTTGCTCCACTTCCTCTTCTCGAGCGTGAATCTGATTGTGAAGGGCGCGGACATCGTTGTCGTGGACTTGCCTAGCATCGGCTGCCTCTCCCGCCTGTAGTACAGACTCAATATTCACCGTCAAATGCGATCATGACAGACATACCAATTTTTGCAGTTGGTCTTGATCATCCATGATCTGGCCATGTAAATCCGCTTCACCACGCTCCAACTCTGCAATCTTGCGCTGACTCTCCAAGATGAACTGTTGTAAACGGTGGCGCTCCTCTTCACTGGCTCGAAAGTTGTTTTGAAAGGTCGCGAGCTGACGCCGGAGAGTTTCGTTCTCTTGATTTACAAATCGACGGTCTTGCCTCGCGCGTGCGCGGCTGCTTGCTTGTGAAAGTCTTCGTTTCGACGTGCCTTCGAGAGATCAGTATCACTTCTGAGCTCAAATGTGCCACTCACATCGTCCAGTCTCTCTTGCCCCGGACCAGCCATCGCTGAGCGTTTACTGGAGACAACCTGATCATGGGAGACTCGAATGCGCTATAAATCGTCAATCATTGCTCGATCAACTTAAGAATGGCAGTGCCTGAGCAGAGGGCGACGTAGCACTGTGATGGTGACCCATCTCCACATCGTGGTCGTGGTCTGACATCGCTGTTCCCGCGGCAAACGCGTGGAATCGGGGGGTGGGGTGAGGAGGGGGAATGTGAGCAAGTGCGGGACTGACGCCAGACCAATTTATACAGTTTGCCGCTTTGTAGTTCATACGCTTTGTGTTCTATCGGGATGCTTTGTCTTACAATTGTTTTTTGTTAGATAATGATTCTTTTTCTACCTTGAAACTGCTTTGTATTATGTATCAGTGAATGAAAATTGTTGTGTCTGGCTGAGCGTGTGTGTGGCGGTCGACGCAATCCGTGGCGGACGACACGTCGCGCGATCAGCAGTGGTTTTGTTGTAAGGTGAATCTTTCTAATTACATTTTACAGAATTATGGCTACGCAGAGCTTTAGGTGTAATGGAAGGGATTCTGGACGTAAATATTTATCTCTACTGGCCATGTACATGGTGGTGCATATATATTCATTACGTATTTGGATCCGTCTTTGGGGCAGCTACCTTCTCCATTTCGCCGCCGAGTTCTTGCAAATTCTGATAAGAACCTTCTCAAGAGGCCAGTGGTCAATGAATTGTCGACAATGGGGTACTTCTTGAGAATCTGGGCAGGGTTAGACACAGTCCCGCTGGGGGCATCAACTTACTCCGCCACGACTTGGGCCTTGATCTTTGGATCCTGGTCTTTCAAGGAAAGCTTGGGATGAAACTTGCGTTGAGCGAGACTTTCGACATCAGTCTTGGGAACAAAATGAGTTGTAAACAAAAATAAAGCATCTCATGGCGCGAGCGCACCTGGAACTGGTCGATGAAAGCCTGCGTCCAACCAGTCAAGAGCGGAAAGTCTGAGTCCCGGACGTGAGAGGGACCACCCAGAGGAATCATGAACGAGATCGATGCCGTCGTATCCGATCCACTATCCGAATCAGAGTTCGCACTCGGAGGGTAAACCCAAGCGGAGGGTTTCGGGGACGAGTCGAAAGTAACAGTCTTGGCCTTCTTGTCCACCACCTTGGGCGCTTTGCTGATGGCCTTGTCCGTGAATGCAAGCGGAGGACCCAAATCCAGGTCTTCATGCATGAGGGGGGTGGGGAAAGTTGGCGCCGATATGTCCGTCTGTCCGAGTAGGAGCACAAACAGGTGGAGGGGGCAGAGCCCATTTCGCGCGGAAAGGAAGATCCATGCAGAGTGCTTGGCACGGAACTGAAGGTCTATATACGTCACAGCGTGGCAATCGTATTTGCATCATACCGAACAAAGACACTTGGTAGGTATATGCATCATACCGAACAAAGACACTAGGTAGGATTGTCTTGCTTTGTGCAAAGCAGACGGCGAATCAGATGGCGTCATTGTCTGGGCGGGAAAGCCATTTAACGGATGGCGTTTGAAGCTTCAGACTCGATTACACTTGGTGCGCAACACCATGACGGACATGTCAGACTATCATCTCCAGTGCCAGCTGTCCAGTCATACGGCGCTATCTATACTCTCAAGGCTCGCGAAGACGGCAGATTCTTAGCCAGTGGTGGTAAGGCCTACAGCTTCCGCCGCGTTGAGTGGCACAAATGAAGGTTTCTAGGTGGCATCGGTCTCAAGGTGTGGGATTTGCAAGAGGAGCGCGAGATTGACGTCGTGGTTGTGACTTCCGATGTACGTGGTGCGATAACAAAGTTGCAATGGATCAAGCGCGAGGACGACATGGGCGAGGCGCTGGTTTACGGCACACAGAGCGGATACATTGTATGCTGCCTCTGGAAGACACCGTATGTCTAGTCCTTTCTTTATCTCCTTGCCTTCTCAGACACTCCAGGGAAAGTCCAGCGTTCGAGTTCACGAGATCTGGAATCGCCAGATGGCTGGATCGTCTGAAGTGACTGGTCTTGCTTTCGATCCGGCCACTAATCGTCTGGCGGCGTGCCATCATGGCGGCATCGTGCAGATGTTTATGTTGGGAGCGAAGATGGCCGAGAAAGAGATGTTTTCCTTGCAGATCCCCTGTTGCGTTCCTGGCGCTTTAGGCTTTGGGGCAATGCACAATAATGAACGCGAGCTGTTGGTTTCTGGACTTTACTGTGGAGTAATGTGAGCTTTTTCATTCGGAACAACAGCAGAGAACTCACCATTTGTGGAGATACAACATTCGCGTCGCACTCTGTGCCGAGGATGACGCATGAGATTGGGTTGTCGCATGTACGCGGTTATTGCATTCGTTTCTCCGGTTCTAAAGAGGCGACAGATCTGATGTCGCGGTCGACTTGGCGAACGGCATCTCTGTGAAGCGATCCCTCCACCGGCGTTCTTCTATATCGCCTCAATGGCGGTGGCGAGCTTGTCAAGCGCTTCAAAGTTCCAGTGACAAAGACCCGGCGCCTACAACAAGTGGCTCTACATGATTCGAATCGGGCGATTGTCGTTGGCAGCGACCACGGTGTGGTGTACGTTTACACACGCCGGGACGGCTCGCTCACGAAGCTCGTCATCGAGGAGAACGAGTGGGTACAGACCGTTGCAGTAAGCACTGGTCTACCGCATACCGGCTTTCAATGCTGAACGTTTCAGGCATCGGGTGCTCGGCTGTCCCACTATCTTCGCAGCCAAGTCCAGCGAAGTGAGCGGCAGGAACGACGCGAAGTCGAATGTCGAAACATAGCGGTGACCAGCCAATCGGCGCTGTTTTGTCGGATGTCACCTTGCGGAAACGGGACGACCTTGCACACCCTGTTGATCTCGGCAAAGTTATGGCAAACCCGCCAGCGAACTGGCTTCTTCGGCTGGGTGGCGTGCGACTGGTCTGGTCGGGCGGGGATGTCTCGCAGCCCCGGTAATCCTGCCGCGACACATGGTTGTTCAACTGGTGGAGTAGCTCGGCCATGCAGATCCCCTCCGGTTTGTCCTCCGGTGCCATTGTGATTGACACCTCACATCCTTAGCGTCGATGCGACGAAGGATGCCAGCGGCAACCAACTCATCGACCTGCTTCGTGGAACGCCAGCTGCGGCAGTGACATTGGTTGCTGGTTGACGGTTTTAGTCCCAAAGTCGTGTCCGTCGGGATCCTAGGCAAGTACTTCCGCCCTGGCACCACCTTCACTTCGCTGACTGCGAGTGCGAAGATGTCCGCGTATTCTGCAACCAGTGCCCTCACAGTCTCTCTCTCCTCCGCCGATATGTCCGGGCCGAGTTCTACGAGGGCGACGATTCGCTGGACGCGCTCGGCCTTGAACGGCTCTGTGAGGTGTGTGAAAAGGCTCCCGCGGTCCGTGTGCGTTTCCATCGCGAACACGTCAGTATTGGTCTCGGAAGCAGGGGTCATCTGGACTCGCCTCGCGGGGGTGATCGCGCACGACTCAACCCCCTTGAAGGCCACATGCGCCTCGGACACGTGTACGTTTCTCTGGTCTTCCTTGGCGTGCTCGTTCCTCGGCGGCCCTTGGTGTCACCGTAAGTGGGGTAGTTAGTAACCCACCATCGGGGGAGGACGTCAAGCAGTACTCGCCTCGCGGGGGAGATTGCGGACAATACATCCCCCGTTGTGTTCACACGCGACGCCGTAGGCTCTTTTCCCCTCTTCTGTCCTTCTCCCCATCTTGTATCCTGTCATTGGCATCTCCGTCATCGCCTATTCTTTGTCTGGTCCGGTTACTCGCAACGACATCAGTCTTGTCTTGTATGATCGAGGCATTGGTTTGTACTCGCCTCGGGGGGGAGGTTGCGGACAACACGTCCCCCACAGAGGCCTCTCGCCTCGGCTCTCGCCATCCCCCTCGCGATACTTTTGGAACTGGACGTTTGCCGCCACCGTATTGTGTAACAGCTGTCCTGCAGCTCATCCGCGACTAAGACGGTGTTGTTCCTGAAGTCCTGGACTGCTCGCAGAGCCCGGAGCAGCGGTTTCCCTAGTAGGATGTTCCATGCGCCACCCGAGTCAATCACCTCGAACTCCGCTCTTATCACGACTCCGCCGACGTCGATGGGCCCTCCCAATGTGCTGACGATGGTATCACGGCACCATTCGCCATCCTCAGCCGTTTCCGTGGTGCCAAGATATGCCTAGCCGGTGTTTCCTCGCCGCAAACCATGTGCTATCCAGCACTCCAGCTCCTGCCGCTCCGTCAAAAAGTGCGATGCCTCGCACGCGTTTGCCCTTGGTCCTTTGAGAGATACTTCGTGTTTGAATAGGGGGTGTGGATTCTCAGGCTCGTCCGCAGCGTACATGTCAACAGTTTTCGAGTTCAAGATGAGACAATACATTTGTTTCGACAGTACGGTGGGACTCTCCGGTCCGTCCAAATGACGGAGTTAGGGCGGACACATCGCCACACTGTGTCAGCCCGGCCTAAAATCCCGGAGGTCGTCCTCTGGGGAGCTCCAATCAACGTCCAGTCGCCCATGTTTAACTGGCACCGGGGCTGGGGCCATGCGTGTCTGGCCA